TCGTGATTCAAACCATGTCCATATGAAGTTAAGCACGTTGTAATCGAAACTGTCTTAGATTACTCCAAAATTGGGCGCATTCCAAAGGGGCACTCCATTCGAGCCACCACTAAAGTGGGAGATAAAAAAGTGAATAACCCGTATGATCGAATTAGGGGTGCTCATCCTCCTCCCCTCCCCCAAGGTTGATGGCGCAAGAACCTTCTCCCAAGATATTTTATTGCTTACAATTTTAGTTTTTGTTCTTACATGCTCTTGCAGTGTGGCTGTCGATGACTATTACACTTGCTGCGGCCTGTTCCTCTTGTCCACTGGTTTAAAATTTTCATTTCAAAAATATGCTCCCCTTGAAAATTAAAAACCCTGTTAAAATGTGCCTCCCTCAAAAATTTTGATTGCGCAACTTGCGCCATGAAACTCCCGAACCTCAGTCAATTACATTCGCTTGGTACAGATCTTGCAATTCGGCGGTGTTTTTTGGTATATAAGATAAAAAAAAATGTATATAACTTTTTATTTTTGATTTGATGAAATAACAACGCATATTTCACGAAAGTATGGAAGGGTATCTTAATTATATATTTTTATTAGAGATACATTAAGTATGATTTACAACAAAAATAGTTTTGATTGGAATTAGTTCCACCCCAATTATTTCTTCAGTACCATTCCCTCAAAGCATTACTGTGCCAACTTAAGTAAGATCATAAATAATTAGAATAGAAGTTCCTGATTTTTTGTATATACAAATATTTTGATTTTTAAATAAAGAATAAAACATCATAAAATGGAATCCATAACTTGCCTCAAATGATCAGATATGAAAGTCTACATCCTCCATCCTAATATTGGATTTTTTAATTTAAAATTATTATACCGCTCAAGTAAGGTTTTATAAACATTAAATTAATTTTTTTTTATATGAAAAAATAAAACAACGGCGAAGAAAAAAATATGGATGTAATAGAATTAATTTTCGTAAGTTCATAATTATATATAAAGCCGGGTATCCAACCAACGGCGCTCCAAGCGAGTAACAAGTGGGTATGTTCCAGCGCTCCGAGCGTGTAACAGTTGAGCGCTCTGACGGGGGAGCTGATGAACATCGTGGACGGCTTACGGTTCCTTTACAGTGTATCTTGTTTGAAACATGGAGTGGATAAACGAGAAATGTCTTCTGCTTATTGAACTCTATAACAAATTTTCCATATTGTATAATCCAAGAGATTCAAATTATAAAAAAACACAATGCTTCCCTACCTTCGGTAGTGAGTAAGCAAAAAAAATAGTAAAATAAAATAAGATTCATGGAAGGACACTAGAAGTGCCACGCAATTACCAGCTGAAATTCATGAAATAAAATTATAGTTCTTCTTTCAGGATTTCAAAAAGAGAGAATGAAAATCAAGAAGAGTATAGGATCAGAAAATGATAATTAATTACTACCATTACTTATTAGTAGAGAGAACTACAATAATAATGCACGGCTGCTCAACTGTGTTAAGTTGCTAAATTTAAATATTAAGTAATAAAAAAAAATATCCATTTATTTTTATCCAAGTTTTTTATCATACCTCGTTTGTGAATGTTGATATAAGTTAACATTTATTGTTAATAAATTAATAATTTTATTTTTGACTTAATATCGTTACCCACACCAATAAGCAATGATAATTAGCGGGTCTGCTGTCGGTAAGAGTACAGGTAGTGGCTTGATCGGCGTGAGGGAGAGGAGTGCCCAGCGGCATCCCTTTCTGTCTTGAATTTAGCATCTGTTTAAGCGAGGAAATCCCTCATCCTGGTTCTTTTGAGCCTCCTGAGTGTGTTTTCGGGTATGTTAAATGTAGCCATACTTTGTATAAGTGCGTTAATATGTCCATGTAAGTTATCGTGAAATCTTTTGTAGTGTGTCCGTATGTGGTCGTTAATTGTTGGCATTTGAAGGTCTTTATGTAAAGTGAAGTTTCTGACGAACCATGGAGCCTTACTTATGGTCCTGAAAGTTTTTGACTAAGACGTTTGTAGTTTTCGTATGTGAGTCGCTTTGGCTGTCTCGTAAATTGGTGAAGCGTAGGTCCATATGGGCTTAAGTAAGTAATTGTAAGTGTTCAGTTTTTGTTTTAGGTTTAGTTTTGAGTATCTTGAGAGAAGTGAGTATAACAGTAGTAGTCTCCCGTCCCCGTTTGCAGTCACAGGAGCGCAGTACGTCATTGGTTCGCGAACATAGTGGATAGGAGGCTTAATACAATACATATTAATGAACCTAAAAATGCATTTAAATATTTCATAAACTAAGAGAAATACAATTATCAAAATTTAACTAATAGCGACATTAGCGCTAACCCAATCTATATATTTTATTTCTGTTGTTACCGACAGGGGATGGGTAACATCTAAAATAAGAAACAAAAAAAGTTCCAACGAGGAAACCATATATAATTGGTTTATCCCATAATTTCAGAAATGTCTAAACGCACCTTAATATTTTTTACCCTTAAACATGTGCAGGGCCGTGGAGGAAACCAGTGGGATGAATTTACCACTTAAATCTGATCTCTTCTCTTAAATTAAGTGAAAAAAAAGTATGTAAAGAAATTATATAATTATTTATGTAATAGTGGATTGATGGTTGACTGTAGCGAAACTTAAAGAGAAGTTGGTTGGGTTGTTCAGTCAAAAATAAATAAATATCATTTATTTATTTTTACTTTTTATTTTTGGCTGAACACCCCAACCAACTTCTCTTCTATTTTTTATATAATATTTAAGAATTTATATTATATGTAATCTTATTTAATCAGCAGATGAAAAATAAAACCTAATCGGGTAGTTTTATTATGGGCCGCTTTAATTTGCGGCCCCCTACAAGTGCCGGGCCATGGATGCCCCCTCTTTCGTCCTAAACTTGAGAGAAAAAATAATTTTATTTTCTCCCTATAGAAATATTTATTTTACTTAAACAAAGAAACGGCTGTTGATACAATTAGAACGGAAGAGCATAAAAAAAAAAGAATCTTAATCAGTACTATATAGATTAAGCGATAAGAATTATCTATATTTTAAGCTTTAGATATTTCATTATGGAAATTATCTTTATTAATCTTTTTAATTTAAAAATATGCCATTATCCTATAGTTAAAATAGTTTTTGTCTGCAAGTACTTCGTATTGGGAAGAGCAAAAAAGATTGAATGAAAACAAATGAAATATGCCTGAGGTTATGAAACTATATTTATAGGGAATTTACTAAAATGAAATAAAAATAAAATAAAAGAAAACTACTTGGAATGTTGAGGTTACAGAAGGGTTGTGCGCACTTGCCCTTCCCCTACCCCCTACTCCTTCCCCTCCCCAAGCTCAGACCGCCCTGTGACGAAGACCCTGGAATTTTGACGTGGCTTCTACGTATCTTCCTTCTTACCCAGTCCGGTTGCAGGAAACTCTGTGACGAGGAATACGTAACTGGTAAGTATCCAGAGACCCCCTGCTATATTATCCGCCGCGCTTGTAGTCGCTGTTTCAGCTTATACTGGTGTAAATAAGCCGTTCAGATGGGTGAAACAAGCCTTCTCTACGTTATAAGGATACAACTGAAGGTAAAAATATGGCGGCGTGGCTGTATAATTAGAAAAATATGGAGAAAAGAGGATAAAACTTGAAAGTGATATGGACCTACAGTTGTTATGAGTGGTTAAATGAAGTGTTTTAATGAGTGTCTTTCCATGCTCAAGCGAAAATAACATTGTGATGGCGGTTGAAAATTGTGACCTTGCTTAACGATAGGTTACTGCATGCTAGAATAACTTCTGTGAGTTTGAATACAAAACGTTATCTTGTTTTTTCGCATATAAATATTCAGCTTGAATGAGTAACAGCAATTCATTACCATATTAAACAATTGGGATGTGTGAATATCAGAGCCTTTTTTAACTGAGTTAAATTTTAACCAAAATATCACTAGGCATTCTTTATCTCAAATTGTTTGCTCAAGACAGTATTGCAATCTGATAGTGATTTATCTAGCTGACAACAGTGTTAATTATAAGATGTGAAAAGTGTACCTCTATTTTTGCTTATTATTGCACAACTTGGATATTTTGGGATTGTGGTAGTTTTCCTATACTTGAATAATTTGTGTTTTAAAATGTTATTGCCTTTTATATAAGTTGTAAAATGTGCTTTGAGAATTATGACCTTGAATTTTTGATGAGGTACATGAGTGAAATTGAAATACCATAGTTAAACATTTGTAGGCTTTTTTATTTCTTCAGTGTTTAGCTGGTTGATGGTGATAAGCAATAGTTAAACTCAAGGTTATCAAGACTTTAACCTTCAGTGATCAGTTTCATGCATGGATCAAGAATATCATTTCCACTAAGAATTATCTGTCTGTATTTTCATAAAATAACTGTTTTTACTGGGATATCATTAGCTTTATTTTATACCATTAACCATTACATATTTTGTTAATGGTAGTTAAGCTGTAAAATCATTTGAATTAATATAGATGTTAATTATTTGCGTCATACTTTGATTTGTTCAGGATTATTTACTCATCTGTGTTTGTTGTTTTCTTAACTGTTGGGCCAGACATCATTATCTGTTTATAACAGTTTTTATCTGTTAAAGATGTCCGATGGATTTATATGATAGTTATTTGTTGAAAAAATTGGAAGTTAATTAACTGCTATAGCTTTAATTTTTTTTTTTTTATGATACATTTTTTAGTTTGGCATTAAAAGTGACTTATAAGAATTCATACATTGCCTGGTGTTACCAGTGAAATATTTTTTAAAACAAAGTGAAGTCATTTATCGAGCATGGAAAGGTATTTTTAATCTATTTTGTTCATTAATAACTAGCTTAGTATAGTTAAATTTGTTGAGAAAAATTTTAAATGTTAAAATAATATAGATTTGTTGGTATTTGTTTTATCTTCTTCGTACCTCTGTGTCTAGGTTTCCTAATTGTATATTAAATTTTGGCAAAACTTTTATTTTTACAGGTGGTATCGGGTAATGGACGGTATGGTCGAGGAAGGTGGAGCAAATAACAATTCAGCTGATCCGTTGGGTTCTTCAATTGCTGTGACTTCAGTTCAAAGTGTGATTCAGGCCAATCAGCAATCGGTTATACAAAGTGCACAAGGTAGCATACAGCCAGTTCTCACTAAAGGGAATGTTATATTGGTTTCCAAACCGAATAGTGTTATTCAAACTCCACAAGGGCAGCTGCAGACACTCCAGGTAGTTGTATTTAAGTCTAAATTAGTTGTTATTGAATTTCTTGGATTTAGCTTGCTAAATTTTCATGTAGTGTTTATTTGATTTAATTATTAAACTTTGAATTTTAATTATATTGCGTTATATTTCCATATAAGTTAGTTAATAATCTCAATACCTCTGCACAACTTATTTTATCCATTTGATGAGTATAAAAAGTAACTCTATTGTAGTTATATATAAAAATATCCGTAAAATTAAATTCCTTTATTTATATTTGTACTTTGACTTTCACACATTACTGCTTCTCAGATGTTCGCCTGTTTATTTAGATAATGTTGTTTCTTTTAGTTAATGTATATATTTATATTATTTTATATCTTTCCTTTAGAATATTAGTTTGTTGTATTTGAATCGTTAAATAAAATTTTTGTAATTTTAAAAATATGATTGAATTAGACAAATTTAATGTTAACCATGTTACAGGAAGATTCTTGATTAATTATAAAGGAAGGTATTATAATTTCACTTCATTGACAAAGTGTAGTTCATTCTTGTGATATTTTTTTATCAAATTCTTTTTTACTTACCACCAAGTTATAAGGTTGTCGGGCAATGCACAGTGCTGTGCGCACGCGTTAGCCGGCTCGCCCCTAGTGTTTCTTCATTTCTTTGTGTTTTTTTTATACATTACAGGCCATAAATTCAACTTATTTACAAAGAGGAACTTGCTCAATAGCCTTTCATTGTCACTTCAGGATGACTAAGCATTAACGATTTCTCTGATCAAAAGTCATCTATTTAAATCCCTTTAACTTTTCATATAATCCGTTAACGAGAAAAAGTAGAAAAAGAATTCATGAAGAAACGTATATTTTATTTGAGCATACCTCAAAGAGCAAAAGTACATTTATTTTATGAAATATGTACTATTAGTGATCATATATGATCATTTGAGAAAGATGATTAAAATTCTACACATCATAAACAATATAAATTGGATCAGTAATTGTATCGATAAGGTGTATTAGACTTGTAACCACATGTTTTCATAAAAATATTCGGTGTTATTTCCCATGGCACAGTTCTCTTAATAAGGAAGGCCACTTAATCAGATCAAAATAGCAATAGCAAACAATTTTGGTATTGATTTATTTATCTAAAGCAGTAAGGAAAGTTGTGTAAGTGAATATTAGATATTTATTAAATCTGTGGTATTTTAATAGTGTCTTTTTTACAAATTAACTGTTGAGAATCATTGTGTTGTAAGTCCAGAAACCATACTATATGATAATAATATTAGCATGAACAATGAAATGTAGATCCTTATTGATAACGGTCAATGTTTGACTAAAACTAATGTAGCTTTCATACCCTTTAGAATACATGAGGTGTTATTATTATTATTTTAAAAAATGAGGTGTTATGGGGTAAAAATGTTATTTTGTTCTCCTGGCATATGTCTCAATTTGGAGGCAAGGAGTTAAAATAAGCTTTTACTCAATACGTTAGTAAAAGGAGTCATTCTGGAATCGTCTGGTTGACAACCCGGCAATTGATTTTTCTTAACCATGATTCTCAACAGGCAATATTATAATTGTTTTGTAATTCTGTTTTACAATCATTATTTATATTTGTATCTTCAGAGTAGCTAGTTTAGTTTTTTAGTATAATCTAATGATGATCAATGAAAATCTGTTGTATGTAATTTGTTACTAATCTATCCTAATATATAAAGCTGAAGACTTTAAGCGAGCTTATTTCAAGAATTACTTGTCAGATTTAAAAAAATATTTTATGTTAGGTACGCTTTATTAAAAAAGGCTTAAGGCTTTATAAAATCATGCCATGACTCGTATGAAACAAACAGTAACCATAAATGCTATCCAATCTGTTAAACCCTAAGCAATTAATAAGGTGTCGTTTACATTCACTATAAATAAAACCCTACAAACATTGTTTACTTCCACTTTCTCATTCAAATAAAAAAGTGCACAAAAAACTTTACTATGCATTTGTGACAAAGTAAATAAGAGAGTTTCTGGTATTATCCCAGTCGTTGTATTTTTGTAATTGATATTACAAAATGAAAAAGAAATACAGGCTGCACACTACTATACTGAGACTGATGGTGAGAACAATTGTATGTAAGAAGAAAAACCCACTGGTTATGCACTACCTCCTTGGCATCGCAACAGCACGGTGATTAATGAGAAGAATACATATTAAATAACTGGATTCTTTAAAATAACAGAGAAATCTATTAGTTCAGTTGATGGCACCAGTGCAAAAGCAGCATACTGCTGAAATATAAATAGTTAGGATTAATTTCAATACTTAAAACATTAAATCCTTTCGCCAATTAACTGTCTTCAAATATCAAATAATAATCTTCTGCAAAAAAAATAATTGATTAAAATAATAATTAAAAAAATAATTCAAATAATTATCTTCTGCAGAAAAATATAGCAAAAATGTTCAGAAAACGTGTTATTTTTTAAAATCTAATCGAAATTCTCACAGTTAACTGATTGGATTCGCCTTAAGAGAAAACTGCTTTTCTCATGGTTAACTATATATTGCGGTATGTAGATCAGGCTGCGGAAAAAATGGTATATACTTATAGCACAAGAAAAAAGAACTATAAATATTATCTCTACTAAATTGCTGTAAAAGTTTTCTTAATAATTTCAAAATACCATGCTCATAAATTACTAGTTACTAGTATAAAGCCATAAAACTGAAGATGCTTTTAGCAAGTAATTTTTATTTTAATTTATTCAAATGCACTTGATCATGTTAGCATGGGTATAGTAAGTGAAAACATTGCTGATGTTTTATAAATTCCTGAATAAAACTTATAATTACTGATTGAAACCACAGCTGATCTTTTATAAATTCCTTAATAAAATTTATAATTATTGATTTAAAATAAATATAATTAAATTATATCCTTTGAATAAACATCACAATTGCACTGCTTAGATATATTCTAAATATAAAGGGAAAATAATAAAGTTGCTACAATTTATCATGTAATATTAGTGTAATACAAATTTAATTAGAGTGTCCAAAAAGTTTGGTTTTGAGAGATGTATTATTCATGTTCAGATCATCTTTTATAACTTATTAGCAACTAGCCCAGAAGTAAAATGTGTATGTGATAATATTCACACACATATACATATATAGTTTTATTTAAAGCTGTTTACTAATCCTCTATTATGTTTGTTTAAATAGTCTGTATTTGTTATTTATCATATCACAGAGTTTACAGTGATTGAATTTTTGTCAGGTTGTTGAAGCTGGGAGTGATGAAAGTTTATCAAACGAAGAAGATGCGTCGACTAAAAAAAGGAGGGATATCTTATCGAGAAGACCTTCTTATCGAAAGATATTGAGTGATTTGGGAGGTAAATGATATAAAATTCTTTGCATGATTATTCTCAGTATAAAATTATATTTGTATAATTAATTGCTTACAATTTATTATATTTGGTTTATCAGGTTGCCAGGCAGTGCGTGTTTTATACACACAGCCTGCTCAACCACCCTGCTCCCAACCAATAACCTTGTAGCTATTTGAGGAGTATCAATATTTTATTATAGATACATAGTTTTTCTGAACATGCTCTAGAATATAAACTTTCTGGTAATATGAACATTACCCTGCGGTTATTTTTATTAGAGATATTGCAATATTGATGAATAATCTATTTTAAAAAATGCTTAAACTTATGTATTTAATAAAATGTTAACTCAAATTTTTCAACAAACAGTCATATCAGAGGTGTAGTAGCGATGAGAGATGCACTCCACTTCAAAACAAGTACAAGGAAAAAGCCAGAATATACCGAAACTAAATGTGTAGCCAAAAATGGAAGTTCTGGAATGATTTCATCGTTAAAGAAAGAGCCATTAATCCCTGCGGTATTTGCAGAAAGTGGCTATGGAAAAAATGACTCTGATGCAGACTATTGCAGCTTTAAAACATGGAGATTCCCAAGCAAGCATTCCTGAAGAGACTGCAAAAATTTTCATTGAGACGACATACCCCAGGGATGACTCATCGCATGACAAAGAAGATAAAACGTTCATAAGGCGCTATGGTATATTCACCTGGGGTGGACTTGTACCAACCATGATCTTCGATGTGCCGTGGATAGGCAGAAAATCAGTCACACTCCAGGGCTAGACGGTATTGATGCTGCAATCTTGAAGAACAGTGCCCCCTACATTAAGGAAAGGCAATTTCACATCTTCAATGACTGTTTAGATAGGAGGTAATTTATGAGAGAGTGAAAAATTGCCAATTTGAGTGTGCTTTACAAGGGGAGTGACAGAGATATGCAAGTCGTTGAATCATACAGACCAATCTATCTCCTCCCTGTGATAAGTAAGGTCCTAGAGTACCTAATACTATACTAACAAGTCTGCAACAGACACTAGATTGAGTCCATATCCATGATAATATGGATCCACCAGAGGTAAGGGAACTGCCTATGCCACGATGTTGATAAGGAGGCGGAAAATGTCATGTTACTTTTGACACAACACCGCCTTTGATAGCGTGGAGTGGCCGAATGTGCTACAAAAGTTTGAGGTTTGAGCAACTTGTACACCTTAATAAAAAGTTATCTAGAAGATTGAAAAGTAAGGATACGAAGCAATTTCTATGAAGTCGAAGAAAGCGTAGAAAGGGGACTCTGTCCTTTAGAAGTTGGTTTTTGAAGAGTTGCTGGGGTTACTTGGAGAGGAGCGGTTCCCTGCCATGGCCTATGTGACGACGTGGCCTTAGTGCTGGCTCCAATTTCCAGAAGCATAAAGATGCGCCGATCTTGTCAGAGAATGGTGCGTGAGGAAAAGGTTGAAAATGGCAGGCACCAAAACCTCCCAAGCTATACTTCTAAAGGGTACGATTGCTAGGGCTCACCCTATTGTCATGAATATATATATAGGGAATAAATAGCCCATTGATGGAATAAGTCATACACGGTGAGCCAGACCTCCCTACCATGCACTCCCCTCCTTTCCCCCTCCCACATCCCTATTTACTAAATAAAAGCCAATTTTCCCACAAAAAAAAGTTAAAGCACCGCCCCAAACATGGACTGACGACTTTAACTTTAGCTAGTTTGTTGGTCACTGAGAATCAGCATTTGACTTAATTTCACCATAGTTAGTCTTTTATTAAAACTTAATAGTCAAAGAATAATAAAACATGAAAAAATAATTGGCAAAAACATTTTCAAGTTGAAAATCAAGCATCATTTGTAATTAAACGGCCAACTGTGATCAACGGCTGAAATGAAACATCTGAAGAATATATTTCTCTTTCTAAAACACTGATTACTTTTTAAAATATTTGAAGCAGTTCCGTAATAAATGCTCTTAAGCGGCAGAAAAGCGGTACTGGCGTGGGTGCCTACAGGCCTTTACCACACCATTCAGTACTCATAAATGGCTTAGTTCTAGTGCTATAACATTTTTGATACATTATATTGATTGTATTATCGAATAAATATTAATGCAATAATTTAATTGTCCAAAAAAATTGAACAATATTTATTTTTATTTTTTAAATTTAACTTCCTTTATTCTATGCGGAGGTAATTTAAGCAAGCCTCTATTGTAAAAATGATATAATTCTAATAAAACTTAATTCAAAAATACTTCGCAGAATATCTTGAATTTTTCATTTAACGTTTGTAATCAAACACTTTGTTTTGTATATTTATTGATTCTTAGAGGTAATTTAAATTGTATATACTCCCCCGGAAATGAGTCATATTTCCGGTTCGTAATACCTGTTTTATAAACTAAAATATATACCTAATCTGAACTACATATAATAAATAGTTGACGGGTTGTTTAGTAAATCTCATATATCACTAATGAAAAAATTAATTTTTATTTCCTTTATTTTGTTCAGAAGTTGGCCTATATCATAAACAAATAAAAAAAATTAATATGGAATGTATTATTCTCTCTTCACAAAGATTAAAGAGTGAAGCTATATGTTCTTCTTGGTAATCGGAACTAATTGTTAGTATTTGGTCTCAAAATGAGAGGAAACGCAAAATTTAATCCAAAAATTAGAAAAATTAATTAAGCGAACAAGAAAGGAAGTGCCCAAATCCTGGAAAAGAAAACAATCATCAATTTCTATTATATTGCTAAACGAACATATAGTAGACAGAAGAACAGAATATTTCAAGATGTTACTAAAAGTGGGTCAAATGCTGGAGAAGTTTAGATGATATTATGGGGACGATGAAGGTTTATTATAGTGAAGAACATTTTTTTTCTATTGCTACCTAAGTTGCACATTGTAACTATTTTTTAATAAACAGTTACAAGGGACGCAACGATATACAATTTATAGGGATGTGGGGTAGTTGCACGGTAGGGAGGTCTGACCCACAGGCTATCATATTGGGGGTATCTTGAGGAATGCCTTCCCAGCTTGGAATCGTAAGTGAGCGGGGTGTCCGAACGAGCTAACGCCAGTGCACAGCATTGCCATTGCCCGGCAACCTGATATATGAGACAAAGTGATAAAAAATATTCACAAGTTCACGTCCCGTTGCAGGGGAAGTCTTTTAAATCCCTGGCCCAGGAAAAACCTCGTATAGCATGACTACAGGCAAGGATGAGGAGGACAAAAAAAAAAAAATTGTATTTGTAACCTCTTACAGCTACAGAAGAGGAGACTAGTGATGATCCAGAGAATGGCTCTGCTGCGAGTAACAAAATCCTACAGGACTGCTTCTCATAAAGCAGTGCAGGTTTTAGCATGAGCGGTCCCTCTGGAACTTCTACTGCAAGAAGACAAGCTTTTGAGTATATTCTGAAAAAAGAAGGCTCAGCAAGTCTTCCGGAATATCTCTAAGAAAGTATTGCAGCAGATCCATCTAAATGATAACTAATACCTTGAGGAAACACTTTTCTACCGTCTAATCATGGTAGGAAGCGAAATGGGTTCTCCCGATTAATGGATGTCACAATTCCTCACAGGGCATAAGGGTTTTCGCGCCAAGCTTCAGTAGAAAAATAAATAAAACAAAATTCAAATTCTTCTATTTCAGTTAATACTTTATTATCAATTACATTCAGATATTAAGCCTAATTCTACTTTATTTATTCAATGTTTCACTAGTTGCCTATTTGTACTGATTTCTGGTTTTTTTTTTATAGGAACTAAAGTAGAGTCATCTGGATCAGACTGTGATTCTAATTTAGACAGTGAACTTTCTTCCCATTCGTTACCAACGCATTACCAAACAGGTATCTTTTGGTTTTTATATAAAATATCTACTCGGTTGGAGGATTTTTTTTTCCATTTTGTCAAATCATATTCTGAGATTACAATAAATGGCTCATGTTAACAAAATTGTGATTATCTTACATAATAAAAATAGTATAATTGATATTGTGAAGATTTAAGCATCAATTATGCTTAGAATAAAATTGCTACTTGGGGAAAATTGTAACAGGTTATAAATATTTATTTTTATTAAACGTTTATAATAGTGTTGATATTTTTACGATATAAGCTTGAAAAATCATTTTTAAAAACCTCATTGTTTTATGCAAAGTTCAAACAAAGACTGAAAAATAAAAAAGGGTGAGGAGAAAGAATCATCAAACATTTAAAGATGACAGAAAACAATTACTCTTGTACATACCTTTAGGAATTATCACTTTACTGTTATCAGTTTGCCTCCACTTGATTGAGATCACACCCAACCTCAAGATTTCCCTCTTAATTAATTAAGAGCACCCACTTTATAGAGACTGGGTATATCATAGGAGAGTCTCTCTATCATAGGATCGAACGATGAAACAGAATATATAATTTTTCTGCCGTCAGTAGGATTCAAACCAAGGACCTTGAACTCTGGAAGTCAGTGGTTGTTTTTATAAACATAATATAATTAAATATATGTTTGTCATGTATTCATATTTCTTGAGTCATCACAAGATTAAAGCTGAAAGTATTACAACTCAGCAATGTTCGCAATTAAAATTGTAATTGCGTTGATTTCAATGTTCTGAACGGAAATCGTCATCTTTTGATTCATTTACATGACCATGAGATAAAGAAAACTCTTACCAAATCCTGAGTCGATTTCTGACAAATAATTATATTTTTCCAATTCAAATAAAAATAATGCTAAACCATTATCCCTGGCAGAAGTGATAAAACCACCTGTGGCCTACTAGAAACTGGTATTGTGGATTTACATGTTTATATATTTGGTACTTATCTAGTTTGATAATACTCATGTTTCTGTACTATGTATGTGTATTTTACATAATCGGGAGGCCTTGACTCACCACTGAAATGTAAAGCCAGAAGAACAAGATTTTACAAACTGAAAAGCTATGCATTTTATTAAACATAAAATACTAATAATATATACCATCCAAGTGCAAACATGACTGAACACAAGGCTTATTTCAGATATGAATATTTCCACTAATTAATTGGTGTTTAGAGTGTTGGCTGCCACGGTATTTTTCAGGACTCCGGTGTAAAAATTTAATTCAATAAAATCATATATTTTAAAAAAATGCTAAATATAGTGGATAGTAATCATCAAAAGCATACAGAATGTGTCTTTATTTAAATAAATGTGTTGCAGACAGAGATGGATAAATGCTACTCTGAGTACCGAATACCAATTATTTTACTCAAATTGGATCACTATTGGGAATTCAATCACTACTTCAGTTAATCGTTAGACATCAACTGAAGTAGTAATTAAATTATTTGCTACTCAAAAAAGTTCAGTATTTGGGTTAAATACTTGTTACTTAGTACTCGAAGTAGCATTTACCTTGTTGTTAGCTTAATAACCGATAAGTTTTCATTAAATGTGTATATTGGTTTATGTTGTGCACAGAAACGCTTATAATAAATTACTTGTTCGTGTGAGCCAAACTTAATTTTTCTTTCTCCCTTCTTCGAGGTTGTCTATTCATATTAAAACTGATATACTATGAATTTCATCTAAGCTGCGCACAAATATGGCTAGTAAACTTTTAGTTAACATCCTAGGCAATTATACAAATCTTAATTGCTTGAATAATGTTAATGTGTATATGAATCTTGTTAAAAGTGTTGATAAGATTTCAAGATCTCTTTATATTCTAATTTACTCATGAAAATTTTTATAATTTTGATTTTGAAACCTCTGATAATGTAACCTAAAAATGTATTAATGTTCAAAACACCAATTTTACCAATACATTGTTCTAAAGGCATTAGTCATTTGCAATTTTTTATTAAAGTTTTCTTATAGATTTTTAAATCCATGACCATATATCTTTATCTGTTATATATATGTTTTTTTTTTGTTTGTTTTTTAACTCATGAAATTATATATAGCTCATCATTTACAGTAATTCCTGCTGGCACCCTGCAACTTACCAGTCAGGGTGAAGGAATTCACACGCTGACGATGACTAATTCGACAACAGCAGGAGGGACTATTGTTCAGTACACTCAAGGGCAAGATGGAGAATTTTATGTACCTGGTGAGATAGGTACTTATTACTCCAGCTAACTTATTAACTTTAAGACTATTTTGCTTCTCTTAACCTCTAATTTTAGATGCATAACTCTTAATTTTTTTTTTCTTACTTTATATTACTGTTACATTTTTTAAAATACTAGTTGAGGCAATTACAATTATTTTGGCTCTAGTAGTAGTTTTATTTGTAAATTGCAACTACCAGGATTCATGAAGTAATTACAAATTATAATTATTGTAATCGTAATTATATTTTGTATCTTGTTGTTGAGAATAAGATTGTCTCAGGTGATGTGAAATGTGTTGTGATCTCTAATGGTCTCTATCATAGATGGAGATTTCATTTAGATAGCTCTTCCTCCCTTCCAGTTTTTTACTATTTAGTTTACAATCATTTTTTAACAGCAGTTGATTAAGAATGTCCTAAAAGGGCTTTGAAAAGCGAAAAAAAAAAATACGAGAAAATAAGATATATTCTTAGTCAAAAAAATTGTGATGTGGATGTATTAAATTCAGTTACATAAAGATAGTAAGAACAATTTCATGGGCATAACTCCCGATTTGTTCAATGTATTGCTCTTAATGGTGCCTCTATTCATCAAAGAAGCAATCTTATAGAGAGAAGCAATGCGAATTGGGAATAACATTTTCAATCTTGTTTTCTCCCATTTTTATATTTCATGTAGAATTCAAGATGTTTCATATACATGTTTTGGGTTCTATTATAATAATGGATAAATAATATAAAAATTAAATAAAGTAAAAAAAAGTACATAATAAAGTTGTGTTTAAAGGTGCTTGAAACAGATCAAAAACAGCTAAATAAGGAAATTTGGAATGGTAGAAAAGTAATGGGGGTACCTGGTATGGGGACAAAATCCCATCCTTTCATGTCACTCTCACATCCAATCTATGATATGGTTTTATCCCACTCTTTCTGTTTTGCTTTGAAGGGGTGAAGCACCCATTTTCTCCACTCTGGTTTAATTATTTAAAGGCTTCTTTTTGGGGCTAGTTAATAGGTTAGGTGACATGGCTGCCATATGTATTTATCTCTTGTGATATAGAAAATGTGGCTATTATGAATATTTTAATTGCACATTTATTTGAGAAATTGAATTTGAGTCAGAAAATTCAACAGTTGGAACGGGTTCAATTTAGAACATCTTTTGCCTTCAAAAAAAGTAATGTTAGCAGAAAATAATTCAACAGCTCTCTACAAATTTATTGAGTAGATTTCAGTGGAGTGAATTAGTTCAAGTGCAGAACATTAACTTCTTTTTTTTATAAAGATGTAGAGCTGTTTATACATTTTAAGGAATGATCTAAGATAAATATTATTGTAGACGATTTATTTAAATTATAATTCACTTTTCTTCTTTGTTTATTCTTACCAAGCAGTTATAGATTAATATTTACTTATATCATTTAATTTATTGTTAAGATAATGAAAGTTTAGAAATACCTAATGTTCTTAATTTTTTTCAGTTGTAACACAGAATGCCAGTATAGGAGGTAATCAAATATTAGCAGAAGATCAAGCTAGGAAACGAGAAATGCGTCTTTTGAAAAATAGGTTTGTCTTTAAATTTTCTTAGTAAAAATTTTCTGTGAACAGCTTATATCTCATAACTTGTAAGTTTATTTCTCATCTAAAATGATATCGTTTCATTGGTTGAAAATTGAATTTGTAACAGTATGGAAATAGTTGTTTGACAATTTACGTTGTTTTGGAGGGAGAGGATTGGTCAATGAAGAGAAAAACTTATTAAGTTAAAGTTGATTATTATTGAGTGATGACTTTTCGCCCTAATCAGAGCTGATTTAAAGAATCAAAACAAGATGTAACATAGCATAGATAATGTACAGGCGTGAAAATATAAAATTGATTAAAATAGTAATAATTAAGAAGTGAATGAAAAAGTAAGCCGTTACATTTAAAGTAAAATAAATATAAATACATACAAGAAATTAATAATACATAGATATGCAAGTAATATAAGCCATTATAAGGTATAGTAAAACAGAAAAATGATAATATTATGATGACAATGGTAGATTAATATGTTCTGTATGAAAAATAAATACAGATTTATTTTTTATTAATTGTTTTCCATTAAGTATAAAGGGATTAATAAAACTGTAATAGTGAAGGAAAAATTGGTGGTTTGTTTATATAATTTATAGAAGTCCAAAAACATAACTTTTCTGAAGACAATAAAAACTGATCTGCTACCTCCTCATTAAAGAAGTCATGTGCAAAGAATGGGCCATGGTAGGCTCCCTGACATTATGATGGAGGGGCGTCTGGGTGGAAGAAGGAAAAGAGGCTTGTCTAGATTTCATTGGATAGAAGACGTTGAAAATGATCTAAGGAATCAGGGTGTAGGCAGATGGAGAAGGGCAACCGAAGACAGGTCGATTTGGAGGAAGATAGAGGAGGCCAAGGTTCTACAAGAGCCATAGTGCCATCGCATGATAATAAATAAAATTTATAAATTATAACATTATAAACTATTTTTGGTGGGTATTTAAAATTGTAAAGACTAAAAGGAACTTAACATTTCTGTCATCATTCTATAAAATATTATTAATTAAATTATCAAAAGTAGTCTGATCACGACTTATGAAATGAAAAAGACTATAACTACAACAATGCAAGTAATTCATTGTTTCTAGTTGGAGGAACGATATGAAGCTTAAACCATTCTAAATTAAATTGAAAGTATAGACCTATTGAACTAGAAAGAAAGAGAGAGATTTTAATCTTCTGTACTAGCTTGTTCATCAAACCTATTTCAGTGTAAGGACCATAGGCCTTCTCTTTACACTTCCTAAAGAAAACAATTACGATTCCTTTAATTTTATTTTTGCGGTAGTTCACAGGAACTATAGTTCACTAAAAGCAAGACCGGCCTTTTTTTACTTCTTGTTTGTCAAAAGCCTTTGCTACTGAGAGCTGAATAGGGCTCTATAATACCATATTACATATCGTAGATGAATGATGAGATTGTCTGTTATTAATTATAATCTAAAATTAGTAAGATCACAAGGCAAATTGACAATCTTTAACTTCTTTTAAAATTCTTGATTTATTATTATAAATATTTCATGTTAAGAACTTTTACCATCTTTGCTTTTTTTTTATTGTACATTTATCAAATATTTGGCTTTATTTTTATGTCTTCTATTGTCATACTTTATAAACTATCTGTTGTAAACTTTGTTTTTACATTCATATGTCAACAGATATAATTGAATGGATTATTGCAGGCATTTTCATGAATAAAAAAAACACAAAAATTAATAATACTGAAATGTCAAAAGATAAAAAACCTACAGTATAACATATCTTTTGTAATATAAGTATTAGATATTTACAAAAAATTATAATTGTGTTATTGCTGCTGTAAACTATGTTTCGTAATGATTTAAATGTTGAACTATTTATTCTTTTCTATAGAATATTAATTTTATTAAACTTTGAAAGAATAAAAATAATATTAATTAATTGATTTTACTTAAATACCGAATGGCAGACATTTTTACTTTCACTTATCTATTTATGAAATATATAGTAAGGGAAAGTATTGCGATCGTGAAAATTTTCGAATCTGAGTTTTCAACAGAAATACATGTTTTGAAGTCCCCTGAGTCGAAATAACAAAGTCCCGCAAAATGGTCTGTGTGTGTGTGTTAACAGTCTAGCTCAAAAACAAAATGTACGAAATTGCATATTTAAAATTTTTATAAGCTTGGGATGTTACAGTAACTTTTTCATCAAAATCGGCTAAACGGAAGTTGCACTTAATATCATGGACTAAACACATTTTAACGATTTTGATTAAATTCATTATATCAGTGTAAAATTAAGCAGTTTTAAGTAAAATGTAGGTTTTATTCTGATTTATGTTCTCTATTGACAATTTCACATTAATTTCTAATATAAAAGATAGTTAAATATAAAATATGAAAGAATTTGATAATTAACTAAAGCAGAATAAGACATCATAATGGAGAATAGTTGTAATTGAGGAACCAAAGGAATAAGATCTCACCCGAGGTTCTCCGAAAGATAAGAACACGCTTCCATACGTAACATTAGCTTAACATAATATGGACTCTGACAATATTATATGCACATTATACTTATGCAGGTTTCATGAATGCTATTGTTGGTATTCTTTAATATTTAATTGGATAGATTACAGCGATATAAATATTAAAATTTGTATATATAAAGGTACTTCTAGAAATAAGATACTCACGATGAAATATAAATAAATATAGCATTTATAATTTTTACTTTCACTTCCCCTTTGTCTGAAAATACTTATTTCTGCTAAGAAGAGGATGGTAAGTAAAAGTTGGTGATGTGTGTACCGCACCAGATTTTTTTATTGGTTTTTTTGTCTTCATAAAAACCTAAAGATCCACATTCAAAGGTTGATTATAAAATTGTAGGTTATACAATAGTTTTTATTGTAAAAGCTTTCTACTGCACTGTTGTAAGATTTTTTAATTATGCATGGAATCTCTATCATGATTATTTATATTGCTTAACTATTGTTTTATATTTGCCTAGGGAGGCAGCGAGGGAGTGTCGTAGAAAGAAAAAGGAATACATCAAGTGCTTAGAAAATAGAGTAGCAGTTCTTGAAAACCAGAACAAAGCCCTGATAGAAGAATTAAAGACATTAAAAGAACTGTATTGTCAAACAAAGGTGGAATAGCCTCCAACTTCGTTATGTATATAGTGTATATCATTATTTCTAGAAAGGGATTTTTTTCATATATATATTTGTATGTGTATATATATTTGTATATGTATACACAAACACATACATAATTTTTATGTATATATTTTAGTCAAACATACCTGCTTATATGTTGCTGTGTAGAATTTTAACTCTGGTGTGCTTCAACCAGCTTTTAATAGCTCCCTGTCCGTCCTGTGATTTAAGGGAATCATTTTTTGCTCATTTGCTTTAAAAAAATTGTTTTAATTATGAAATGATTGAAACGACTAGCTATTCATTAATTTAATTCTGATTTTTTTTTCTTTTTAACTGAAAAACTTGTATGATGGGTAAGAAGCTTTTAATGTCAAAGATCTCATCTAATAATAGTTGTTTATGAACCTTTCTTTTATAATTTATTTGTCCCTTAGTAAATTATCCCTGCTCATCATTAAGTTAGATAATAAATTTTAGCTGTATTTGGGTTTGACCAGTACAAAACTGATGCATATCCAGTTTACTTAAGATTTTTTTAAAAATTGTTTAAGTTGCTTAGTTACCATTTCACGAGAGTATCCTAGCTACCTCTCTTATCATTTAGGTATATTTAGAATCATATAGGCAGATCAGGGAAATTATTTTCTAATCAAATTGTAATGGTGGCTGGCACATCTAGAATTTTAATTTATGGAGAAATTGAACTTCCGTAATGTTAATGTATATGTTTGTACATATTTATATATATATAATGTTATTGATTTTTTCTGATTTGAAAATAAGTTAACGGCATAAGGCCTTTTTTATGTGCCTCTATAGGCTGATCTTTGTTTTTATGATTGAAGTAGACGTTATGCTCCCAAATAATTAACTCTCATACCCTTATTAGATGTAATTAATTTGCACTCAAGTGCCTTAATCCTGTGCTAAAGCTTCATTTCATTGAAGGATTAATTAGAAACTACATATAGTTATTTTTAAAAAGTTTCATTTATAACTGAGTGGTCGAATAGATTATTTTTCGTATGTTAAATATGAATTTCATTGTAATGACCATCAGTGTTTGCTGAATATTTTCTTCTTCTTTTTTTTTTTAACTGTAAATATCTATACCAAATCCAGCTTATGAATGTTAGTCAATAATTGTGCATTGTATCAAAATGTAAATAAAAACAGTATATAAATTATGTAATATATTATACATTTATATTCTGTGAACATAATTCTTAAGGATTCTAAAAGACCACAAATTAATGGTATACATTCTGTTTATAATTAAAAAAAGAAATAAACTTATATTTTATATAATTATCTGTTATTATGTAATTGTTTTTTCATCAATTTTAATAGATAACCTAACAATTCAGATACAGATTGACAGTATGAAATTAGACATGAAAATATGTTGTCCCAAGGAGTAATAGTTTGATCGATCTTTTGTTCTTTGATTATAAAAATAATAAGTGAATGACCAACTTTTCTTTAATTAAATGATTAATTTAACATAATTGTACGGTAGCAGTTTTTGTATTTCTGTCCAATGACATTGTTTATAACAGTATTGTGCTCAAAAATAAATTTAAAAAATTCAAAAGAAATTAGATGATGTTAAAAAAAACGTATGTTCATGGTATTTTTTTCTAATATAATTGTGGGTTGTTTGAGCCAGGGGCCAATTTTTATCAGATACATCTCTTTTTAATCAGCCAATATTATGTTTGCTTGTCAATATCACTATAACTTACAAATATTCATTTACAAAGAATCTATGAAAGATGAAAAAAAAAAAATTGTCTCTTTCAACCTTTGAACTGAGGACTAAAGAGCACTGACTACTATAACAACAGTTATACTTAGATATACTCCTGCACTTTCACCAATGGCCGATGAATTCAAAAGTGGAACTGAGATTAGAAATATAAATTTCTAATTGGCAATTTTTTTGTCTTTGAAGGCCTAAACAAAGATTAAAGGGGGTGAATCAGAAAGTGGAATGCAAACAGAAATAAAACAGAAAAACAGCTTGGTTTTCTAGAAGATATAAACTTTATATTTTGTTCTCGATTCATGACATTCTGTGGACTGGGGTCACTTCTTATTGCAATTGTAAAAGGAAAATATATTTTTCGCTAATTTAGTTGATAACTGAAGACAATATCATAGGGGTACAATTATTCAATTCTTAATCAGAAATATTTAAATCCTACTTTTATATAACAGGTAGTTTTTTCTAAAAAAAAAATAACTTTTATATTACAAGTACAAGTAACAGACAGATAAAATATTTTCTCCTCATTTGCAGATAAAATAAGCTTTATTGGCCTGAAATAGATTAATTCAATTAGATAAAACTAAAACATTTAAGGGGATGATGCCTGAACCTCAAGTGACATGCCACAATTGCTGATGGGCAGTTGATTTTTTTAATGGAGTAAGGCTGGATATTTGTTTTAGGAAGATTTCCCTATCACTTCTCTTTAAGAGATAAATTTGAAATTTTGATTCATTCATTTATAGTTCACCTTTTCTTACTTTAAAACAGTTCAAAAATTATTTATTTTTTTTAATTATATAAAAAATTTGTTGGCCCAAAAAACTCTATTATTGGTGTAATATACGTTGTCAGAATTGCTTAAGTTTTTCATGAATAATAAAAGAATTGCCTGGACAGAGAAAATGAAATCGATAAGAGACTAAATTTGCTGTCAATTAACCCGTTTGCAAAGATCCACTTTTAGAACTAAATCAGTAGTTCAGATTAATGAAAAAAAAAAAAATTGCAGTAGGGATGGTATTGTAAGATTCCACAAAGAAGTTCCTAAACCACCAGTAAATAAATATGCTTTCCACAATCATAGCTAGGAGTTGGGGAATTAGTATTTATTTTGTAATTAGTAATTTTAAGAATATTAAAATAGTGACCAAACAATCCCCTCTGTTAATAAATTTTTAGAAATTGATTTTTTTTTTTAAATTCATAATGAAACAGTTGTCTCATTTTGTTTCTCTCTGATTACCCCCCCCTCCCCCTCCCCCATGAACTCAATAAAGTTCCACCAAATTTGATGGAACCGACTTATATCTTTTGTTTTTTTATAACTTGTTATTTTTCTGTTTATTTATTAATCATTTTTGAAAAATAATATTCTGAATGCAATTAAAATAATTTATATTTTTTTGTTTCACAATAAATATTACTATTTATCTAAAAATAAATGTCCGGTATTACAAAATTTTATGGGGCAAATGACATTAAGGTGGCTCCACCTTTTTTTTTTAATTGAGTGGTAACTTTAGCATAAGATGAATGTTTTGTCTAAATGAGATACAACTTTATTACAAAAGAATAACATTCATTATAGATATATTTTACCCACAGCATTATTGATTAAAAATTTATCTGGAATTCATAAAATTTAAATAAAATTAATTTTTATCCAAAAGCAAAACGTTTGGTATTTATGCAGGTCAACATTGAAACCCATGATATATAATTGATTTTGAAAGTAATACTCTTTTTTTTTTTAATAATTAAAATGGTTTGGAGATGTTTGTTCATATAGTTAACGTTTACTAATGTGGTTGATACAATAGTTTTTTAAAATAATAATTAAATAATACTATTTTTAATATTTAGTATTTATTTGACCGCACCCCCACCCGTCGATCAACTCATTTAATAAGAATGGTTCACTGCAGCACTATATCCCCAAGTATATGGGTCGAAATGTTAGCAAATCTTAATAAACCATATAAAGAAGGCATATCCTAACTATTTGTCATCCAGATCATCGTAGAACTGTTTTTATTTGAAAAACATTCTTGCATATCTGTTGCGAGATTACCCTCAAAAGAAGCTGGTGCTCAGCCATACCTCTCCGTTTAAAAACTATTTTATCCTAACTGGGCGTAACTAAAAATACTTCTTACCTACCTAAATTTTACTAGTCAACATATCTGTGCTAATTTCCACAGAACTTTTAGGCTATAAACGTAAAAATATATCGCACCAATTTATAAAATCCAGTGTCAGCCTTAGAATGGGGAAACCGGGGCAGTTGTTTGCCATTTGTTAAAAATTTTTAAAAAATACAAAATAAATAATTTCAATCTATCAATGAAGCAACTGTATTAGAGAGAAATTTAAAGAAATAAAATTCAAATATTATGTTATATAAAGCAGCTTAACTCCAACATAAGAGGCGCGCCCTGGCCTGGAAAGACCTATTATGGATCTTCCTAAACTCAGTTAAAACTGTCCAGATGCCTTTGAGAACATATTCATACTAATAGGATCCATCATTTAGCAATGCTTAGGTTCAGTGATATGATCACATCCAAAGTGAAAGTATCCCAGTCTAGCCAAATTATTACATCTGCAAATAATGTGATGGGCGTTTCATCCTCTAGGCCACATAGCCTGCAGGTAGGTGGAGGTCTCACTCACACCCAAATTGTAAAGGTGCCTATTTATTTATCAGCCCTCAAAAGTTTTTTTCCAGCTTCTTTCCAGGTAACTAAACTTAAACAGCTTCGAATGGGGAGCCAAATTAAATCGAATTCGGTACATTTGTTTAGGTGCTCCCGCTTACAAGGTATAGGTTTTTCGGCCGCCTTCTTGATAGGAAAGTACTTTCGGTGAAGTATACATAAATTTAGAGGACTTCGAGGAGAAGTCTTAGTCCAAGTTTCATTAAAATCGGTACTTTAATTTTGGTGCTACAGATTTTTCGGCATTTGGAAAGAAAGGGTAGACCCCCTTTGTCAATGACATCGAATCTCAAAACAATTGGCGCTGTAGTTTTAGAGAAAAGCCCTGGACGGACGGATTTTTTAAATTTGATTTTTGGATCCTACATATCTTGAAACGTAAAACTTCAAATTTTGAAGGGGATTAACTTTTTAATTCTTGGTCGTTTAAAAAGGTTAATTATTGCAAATAATAAATCAAAATTAATGTCTCAACCATATGTAATCCATCTGGTTAACAAGTTCCTCTGTTACATCCTATGCTATCCATGAACTAAAATATTGGAAACCTTATCAATTATAGAGTTAATTGTTTAAAATGAGCATAGATTATTACAAGCAAAGATATGTGCCAAATAATTACGCCCAATATTCATCTGAGAATTCTGCATTCGTATCATCTACCGATGTACATATTAATGCTAAATATTTTGATGTAGTTCTGTGAAATGTTACACGAATTACATTTCGTTTTTGATTTTTCAGATCACCAATGAACTTGGACAAAGAATTGACAAAACAGAAAAAGCTCTTTACCAAAAAATAAAAGATTTGGACCGTCAGGAGACAAGTTGTACAAAACATTCGATTTACGTAGGATCTTGTGGAATAGCTTTGCTTTACCTTCATAAATACATGAAGCAGAACGATAGCGATGCATTGGCGGTACAATAGTATACCATTCTAATAATTTTTCAAAAATTCCCTCAGTTATCGTCAAGCAGCAGTGTATCTTAATAGGTTTAAATTTAATGAAAGCAGAATAAGTCTTATTTTTACATCTCAAATTTCTAATCTTTTGATTATCCAGAATGTTTTTATGTAAAATCCGAGAGGATTTTATTACAACTCATAACCTCAACTTCGATAATACGTTGATGTTAATTATAATATAGTATACCTTATGTTTATTATATATATTGTTCGTCGTGGGGAAACTCCTGTTGCAATGGTCATCAGTACAGAAGCTGGCCTCGGTACTACGCTCTGCATTGAGTTATCTCGAAATATTAAGGGGACCGGAAAGTAATGTCGTTTTCTTACATTAAATATCACCGTCATTATCAACTACCTCTTGCCATCTAGTGTGCAAATTTTGTATACAGGATTGATAAATATCAATTGGTTTTTGGCTAAAATATATAGAAATGGCATTTTAGACATAATTTAAACTGTAAATATTTTGCCACTTAAAAAGTTTTGAAACAAACGGAAATCCGATGTAACCCTACAAACGGAAATCCGCAAGACAGTAACCCTAAAATTTATGTTTTCAAAAAGTACACTTCCATTGGTGTACATAAGGCTATTATTTATACGGGGCGAAAATGTATGGCTTTTGATGGAAATTTAAAAAAATTAAACATTTTTTTAAATTTCCATCAAAAGCCATACATTTTCGCCCTGTATAAACGGAAATCCGATGGCGCAACATCATGCGAATATGGTGGATGAGACAGTATCTCCCTTGGTCACGTCCCACAAATTAAACATTTTTTTAAATTTCCATCAAAAGCCATACATTTTCGCCCTGTACAAACGGAAATCCGATGGCGCAACATCATGCGAATATGATGGATGAGACAGTATCTCCCACCCCAAATCATTAATTTTTTAATTAAATCTTCCAAGAGCATTCTTAATTAATAATTTCGAGGAAATAACTTTATTGAACCCTTTCACCTCCTCTCCATGCTTCAATTCATTTTTATTTTTTTCGACAACGTTTCAGGCAATTTTGTCCATTTTCAAGTCTAAATATTTATATCATTATCTTAACCTCTATGTAATATTATTTATTTTATAATTGTTATAAAAAAAATGTCGTCCTTAGCCTCACATTCTTCTAATATTAGTTTCATAATTATTTATGAAAAGTCAATTCTTTGGTCACGTCCCACAAATTAAACATTTTTTTAAATTTCCATCAAAAGCCAGACATTTTCGCCCGGTATAAATAATAGCCTTTTGGAAGTGTACTTTTTGAAAACATAAATTTTAGGGTTACTGTCTTGCGCATAGATATGTTATTGATTAATAATAAATTTTCGAATTTCTTCGATATAGATCTACCATAATAATTTTAGAGGCGCAGTTTTCGAGAACACTATCGATTTTAAAATTACTCCATTTATTGTCGATTTATTTTAACCTATCAGATTTATTTGATATTGGGGTCCACTATTATGCTGTCTGAGGTATTTCTGATAGTTATGTTGATTTTAAGATAAATTTATCGCGTTTCGATTTATTATCGATTTATTTTAGCTTTTTTAAGATTTTTTTTATATAAGGTCCACTTTCATGTTTCCGGATGCGTAGATTTTATTTTAGACCATTTTATGATCACCCAATCGTGTATAGATTTACATTAATCTATTGGATTTCTATGATATCTGGGTTCACTATTATGTTTTGGGAGAGTGTTTAATGTAAAATCGATTTTATGATTGTGCAGCAATCGCGAACCGATTTTTTTTAGCATTTTGGATTTCTTTGATGTAAGAATCCATCATTATGGAGACGAAGGTGTCACATGAATTAAAACACTATTCTTTTGTTATCCCTTAAAGGCCCCTTGCATGGTAAATAATGAATGTTGTCAATATATTGAGTATTTAAAAGTTGACCGTTGCGTTATAAAGGAAGAAGATGGTCCGAAATAGCAGTCATAAATAGGCTGAATAGTGGCAAAACTATTTTATTAAAAGCCAACGTTTTGACCCGACTTAGCAGGTCTTCTTCAGGAAGGTGTGTTCAGCTAGGAGTTCCACCTAGAACTGAACTCAGTAAAACTCCTAGCTGAACACACCTCCCTGAAGAAGACTTGCAAAGTCGGTTCGAAAAGTTGGCTTTTAATAAAATAGTTTTGCCACTATTCAGCCTATTTATGACCGTCACCCCGGACCATCTCGTTATCAATATATTGTCCGTGTAAGGGCTACTAATAATAATAATTTATGAGTGATTGAATTATGTATATTGAATGAGATAATTAATGATTTATTTTCTTGTCCTTCCATTCATCAAATATTTCTGCTTCTTTCAATAACATTTGACATTTGTGGTTTTCAAATAAAATAGTGGGGTTCATCGAGGCCCTCGCGCTTTATAACAAAGATACTTGGAAGTTTTCATAAATGTAATGGAAAATAAAAGTTTCATTTGAAATTACTCGGCGGGCCGCGTGATACAAAGGCCGAGGGTAGTGCACCCCTGCTGTAAGTAACTAAAGCTCTGGCATTTGATGTTTATATAGTTTTCGCCTGGGAAACTAACTTTAAAGGAATTCCTCTGAACAATTTAACCTCGTTGTTTTACATGTATGGGATTAATGCTGCTAAAACTGCACTGACATAGACATAAGATCATCATTGATCTTTTTCCAAGATCAACATTTTTTCTTTTTTTTTTTCATTTAAGGCAAATTGTCAATGTTAGTACTAAAGGAGAGCGATGCGACGGAAGTTGTTCACATGAATCAGTAAATTGAGACGTTAAAGTCCTAATACAGTTAATTTAAACGATTTTTTATAAAAACAACTATGTAAATATCTAATTTTGGATGGGCTGTAACTGAGTTGATATATTCCATTTGTATCTATTTATTATGTATTCTAATAGTTTTTATATTAATAACGATATTACGCTTTATATATAATCTATATTCTTTTCACATGCATATGCATATTATTGAACTCTCATGGACATTTAAAATTGTCCTATTTTCTTTCGTTGTGAATGATTAAATTTAAAAAAAAATACGTTAATATGGTGAATATTTTCAGAGAGGAAAAAGAATAATAACTGATGCTAATGAAAAGTTCAAAAATAGAGGAATCAGTTTCCTCCAAGGTGATGCTGGGCCCTTAGCTTTGGGGTTTTTATTTAATGCATATACATCTGGAAGTACCTCACCAACTGATTACTCTCGTAGGTAAGACACTTTGCAATCTCATATCCTGTATTTTCTTACATTCCATGTATTAACGTATAATTTTTTGAACGTATAGATTATGTACTTTAGCTGATAAGAACGCAAACTCAGCGAGTGAACTTTTAACTGGAAGGGCTGGATATCTTTATGCTTTGCTGTTTGTTCAGAAACACTTTAAAAACATAATATCAGACGAATTATTGAGGAAGGTAAACAATATTTGATACTACACTACTGTTCTCCTTCTTCATGCATTTTTTTCCTCTCTAATGCTCAATGATTTTTGTATATATCTGGTGAATTTGTTTGTCATCATAGCAAATAAGTATCATACTTCATGCTGGAGTGCAGAGAGCAGAAATAACACCTTGTGAAGCACCATTAGTCTACGAATGGTGTGATAATAATTACTTAGGAGCAGCCCATGGTGTCGCCGGAATTCTCTACATTTTACTTTGTGTAAGAAATAAAAATTATGAAATTTTGATTTAACTTAATGAATCACATAGGTTACCTCTTACAAGGAGAGGTCGCAGTAAATGGGTCACCAGTTTCAACCAAATTTTTTTGGTGATTATATATAGACAAATATTTAATGCGATTATTTTTATACAAATAAAAAATGCGCATTTTATTTAGTATTTGATTATATTGAGGAAAAAAATATTGCGGACGTCAACTCCTCAGGATTTTCTACGACGCAGATTCTGTTCATCTTTCCTTTTCAACTGTGTGCCTCATCCCATCTCAGACACAGTTCGATATCTTGGGTTCCTTTTAAACATAGAACACAGGCGAATCTACGGGGGAGAGAAGGAGGCTTTCGGGCTGAAAGCCCTCCCCCCAAATGGTAAAATATAACCATGTTTTATAGAAAAAAAATATTAAAACTAACTCTTAAAGTATTGTTGTTCGTGTAATTACATTTAATAGGATTTCAAGAATCACTTAAACACCATGCCATATAGGTAGTTAGTTTTTTTTTTTTTTCAAATTAGTTATCGTTATATATATTAAAACAAAAGCTTTCGGGCAGAAGCCCCCTCCCCAAAAGAAAATTAAATCCAGGATCCGCTAGTGACATGGAACCCCATACTATACTTCAAAGATAAGAACTTAACCAACGATTTGCCCAATTATATAGACCATACTAATATTTGGACCTACGGACTATAGTTATGAGGAACAGCTAAACTTTCGAATATCAAACTCATCCAATCCTTCCAATCTAAAGTCCTTCGTACAATTATAAATGCTCCTTATTATGTTACAAACAAAGCTCTACATCATGAACTTAACATCCCTTATGTTCTTGACATTATTCCATTTTCTTGATGTTCTTCGTGATTCTCAAATTTTCATTAGAACTAGTCCACCGTCTTAATCGCTTAGCACAATCCTTATCCAGCGCCACTCATCTCTACGATTCTCCTCGAAGGATGAAACGGCAGTGGCCTCAAGATCATTTGTAAATATATCACTGAAGGCCTTCCTATGGCCAGCTTCTCCACTGAAGTCATGAAATACGTGACTTTATTGCCCTATCTCAATCTCCATTGGATTTCCATCTCGGTGACACTGCTGAGAGAGAAGCGCTGGGATCTCTTAGAATCTTTCCTTGTCCTCCACTCGTGGGGGAAAAGACCAGATTCGGAGCTCCCTCGGCTGTCGGCTGACTGTAAATATTTTAAATCAGAATGAATTTGTTTTTGTGATTTTTTTAACAATTATTATTTATGAAATTTACAACTGTACATTTATATATTAAATGTATACATTCAGCAAATGTGATACAGATAAATACATGACATGACAAGGCTTGTAGAGAATCTACCCATTGGTAGCACTCTATTGTGAATTTTATATTTTTATTTACTGCTGTCTCAAGCTTCATTTTTGAAGTTTTCTTTTTCTTTTCATTTGTTATAGTTTTTGTATTGTTTTTATAATTGTATAAATATATTCTAATACTCAATGCCCTCGATTCAAGCAAAATGTATAATTTCTAAGTAAAATAATTATTTAGAAAAAAAAAAAACTTTCGGGCGAGCTCGGACCAGCTCGTATTCCTTAACTATTACAACTATTCTCCATTACGATCTCTTATTTCTTCTTCAGTTAATTATCAAATTCTTTCATATTTTATATTTAACTATTTTTATATCAGAGTTCAATGTGAAATAGCAAGAAGTAGTGAAGTAGTAGAAAAATATTTCAAATAAAATAATTAAAGTGATTTTAGAGGAAGAAATATTAAAAATTAGACATTTAAGCCCTGATAGAGAACATCAATGAGAATAAAACCTACATTATATTAAAAACCGCTTCATTTTACAATGATATAATGAATTTAATCACAATCGTTAGAGCAGTTTTCGAGAAAATCGTAAAATGTATTAAATCGATAGTATAAAGTACCACTTTCGGTTTGCCGATTTTGAAGAAAAAGTTGTAACATCCCAGGCCTATACAAACTTCAAAAATGCAATTTGACTTTCGTGCCAATTTTCGTTGTTGGGCTAGAACATTTTGTGGGACTTGGTTATTTGGATTCAAGGGATCTCAAAATGTGTATTTCCGTTGAAAACTGAGATTCAAAAATTTTTACGATCGCAATACTTTCTTGGACTATATATTTCATGCGTAGGTAAGTGAAAGTAAAAATAAAGAAAAACTTATCAAATATTTTTAGTTATATTTCTGGTTCCACTATTTCGTGTAGCTTACAGGACTCTTAAGTGGTGATCATTTTTATATGAATTGGTGCCATCAATCCATATTGTTGGAGACATCTTGAAGTAATCACATTGATTTTTGGAATGTCTAAAATATTTTTAAGCATACAACTAATGGAAAGATTCTTATTCTTCTATCGTTATAAAAATTCGTATTAAGGTTTTTTTGAGCTGTGAAAAATGAATATCAACATTGCTTTCCCTGAAAAAATCTTTACTCCTACATTGCTACTTCGCTTGGCACAATTTGTTTTAACATTGTACTCAAACTGAGTATTGAGTGAGTGGGGCAGCCAAAGTTGTAACAATTAACCCCGTGCTACTTACTATAGGAGGTTTTTGTTTTAAATTATATATTCAAATTAGAGTAAAGTATCCATAACATTAAATTTATTATGTTATAATTATAATAATATCTTTGTATTACTACTTATCACAGGCGGATCTACGGAAGGGGGGGGGACTTTCGGGCTGAAGCCCCCTCCCCAAAATGGTAAAATATAACCATGTTTTACAGAAAAAAATATTAAAAACTATCTCTTTAAGTATTCTTGTTCGTTTAATTACATTTAATAGGACTTCAGGAACCACTTAAACGCCATTTCATATAGGTGATTAATTTCTTTGTTACTTATTACTTCTTTAATTGAGGTTTGATGTTACAGGATTGAAATTTAAATTCAATAAAAAAGGCGTTGTATAATTCTTTATTTTTTCCTCTTTGCGCAACTGGTTTCGGTTTTTTATCAGACCTTCATCAAACTAACCTACTGTTTGTCAAATGAGGACTAATTATTACTTGTATAATATGTTTGTTGCATACTTTATAAAAGGCTTGGATTGTATTTTATTGGTAAATTGAATATTTGACAGGGGCCCGTGATTGCTCTCGTACGTTTCTACCAACTGGTTGAAACTTTGTGACCCAATGACTGCGATCTCCCAATTGTGTTAGCCACAAGAACAGTTAGTTGTACAAATGTGCATGAAGCAAATATGCAACCAATAGTAGAATATATTTATATTATACTATAGGCCATTTTATAAGTTATACAACTGTTCATTTAATTTCACTACTCGTTCAAATTGTATTGACATGTATTTTCTAATCCAGATTGTATTATTTTTTATCAACATAAAACAAATGTTTTATCGACATAAAGAATTTTGCCAACTTATCTGCTGATTTTTAATACATTTAATTAACAGGTGCGGATTGGGTAATAAAACCGAAAAAATAACAGCATAAAACAAATTTGCTATCAACATAAAAAAAAATAAACATTTCCCATACAAATTTTTGATCTAAAATCTTTATTTTGTATTAGGAGAGCAACAAGGAGGTAACAGCAGTGGGGTCCCTGGGAGAGTTGTGGATTTTGGCATATATTGTTTGGAATATATCATATCATATATTATATATGAAATATATAATATATGCCTATATTAAAAATTACCATCTCAAGTAGGTATTCAGTTGTTTCAAGCCCTTCCTGAAAACAAAAATGTGTTAATTTACACAAAATGCTTTTTATCTAAAACAGTGCATTATTTTAATAGATGATTCCTTTTACAGTTCAGGTGAGTTTATGAATCCGCAATAGGAGACCGTTAAACAAATTCTTCTATATCTGCAAGTTGATAGATACAGTTCTTTGCCATGTAATTGTAACGAATAAGTTGATGAAGTTCGTACTACAACACTTTGTTGAGGGGGCTGAGCCCCCACTACGGCAGCTTTGGGGGGCTCAAGTCCTCAGTAGCCGGCGCCTATGATGACTTTGCTATGTGCTCAAATTCTTTTGCTCCGTAATGAAAAATACAGCAGCTATGTTAAGCCTATAAGAATTAAAAATAAAATAGCTATCTTAATTCTGGCCATGCATTTGCTTGATATGCGGGTCCAAATTACTATCTGTTTTCAGTGTTCACATTTACTGACACCGACTGAAAAAAACAACTTGATACAGCCTACGATTGAATGGTTACTTTCTCAACGTTTTCCATCCGGCAACTTCAAGCCAGACCCGGACACGAACCAAGACAATCTTGTTCAGTGGTGCCACGGAGCACCAGGATTCGTTCATCTTTTCACACTGGCCAGTGAGGTAACTTTTACAAAATGTTTAGTTGTAATAAATATGCATCAAAATATTATGATAAATAATTCCAAATGAAATTTACGCATGTTATATATTCAAATACAATATTCCTTCATATAAATCATACTTTTTTAATACAGGAGAACAGTTAACTTCTTTAGCTTTTCCATTCTTAATTTATGCTTTGCTCTTGAGGAAAATTTCTTTCATCATTCTGTTTAATTGCATAGGTTTTAGAGGTGTCTCTTCAGCAGAGGTGCCCATCCCTCCATGGCCGATGGCGCAAAAACCTATCCCCTCCCCCTCCTAAGAGATTTTATTGCTCACCTTTTCATACAAAGAGAGCAAGAGAAAGTAGAACTAGAAAAATTGTTGATCAAACACAATTACACTTGCTGTGGTCTGTTCCACGTTTACTCCTTGCCCCTTATTGTGAAACTTTTAATTCCGAAAATGCATAACCCCGTTGTGATTTGCCCTCCTCAAAAATTCAAAAACCCGTCAAAATATGTCTATCTTTAAACGTTTGATGGCGCAACATGCGCCAGAAAGGCCCCTTCTGGACACTCCTGCTCTTCAGAAAATTGGTTGAATGGAATCCTCGAATTGGTTGAATGGAACAGAATTGTAAGCTGGTAGCGGAAAGATATTCTCCTTTCAATTTCTGAGTTTGATTTACTTTGTATTGTGATGTCAGGAAACAAATGAGGCTTAGTTGAAAAACTTTATATCACAATACACAAAACACTTTTAATTCTCTACGTAACCATCACACTATCAGGACGGACTCTTACCATATGGGTAATCTCCCCCAAGCTAACCTTCCTTTGTTTACAAGCTACAGTGCTGCCTGATAACATGCATTAACTCTAGACTATTATATTCTTTTAATGAATCTGTGTTCCAATTTTTAAATTATTGAACTCCATGACGTAACAAGTTCTAACTTTCAAATACATTCATTATAAAAAAAGTCAATCAAATAGGGTCAATATAGCTTCTTTATCATTTCTATTGATTACATAGTTACCTATTTTTAACATCTATAATTCATCGTTTTAAAATAAAATCTACAGAAGAAAACGCTTTAAAGTATAATATTGACAACAAAAGCGCACATTTAACCAGAAGAAGTAGATGAAAATCCAGGCATCAACATTCACAATCAGTCGATAAAATCAAATTAATTGATTATAGCGTTAGTTAAACCCATCAAATAAATTCGATTATAGAATTACATACAGTTTAAAATATGATGATCTAATTTTGTTCAGTACTAAACTAAATAAAAAATATGATTTTTTTCTTTTTATAACGATCAGAAGTGCCCATGGCGCAAGTTGTGCCATCAACATTTTTGGGGAGGGCATATTTTGGTAGGTTTTTGAATTCTTGAGGCGGGCAAATTTCGACGTTCTTATAAATTTTCGTAATGAAAAGTCTCATACCAAGGAACAAGGGAAAAATACGGAACAGAGCGGAGCGACTGTAATTGTATACGAGCTGCGATTTTTCTAATTCTACCAACGCTTGCTCCGTTTTTAAGAAAAGGTAAGCAATAAAATATCTTAGGAGTAGGGGGATAGGTTGTTGCGCCATTCACCTTGGTGAGGGGCTGGATATCTTTGATTACAATGGTAACATAAAAAATAATTTCTTAACAAGCTAAACTATTCCCATATATTGGGATGGCAATTAAGTCCTTTCGATTATTGAGAGTGAAATAAAACTCGATGTACTATAGACATAAAATTTATTTTAATCTACAATATATTGACCATTATTTAGTATGACTTTTTCCCATCCTTTCACTAACTGCTTAATGCCATGCCATGTTCATAGAATGTCTAGAGTTTATTGTTAAAAAGCTGATCCAAGTGGTTTTTTATGTCCTCTTTTGGAATTTCTTTCTATTCCTGGAGTTCTGCAGAGACCAGAATAAACGGTAGTAACTTGGAGTTAGGTCTTGTGAATAGGTAGGGTGGGCCAAAAGGTCAATCCAAGGCTCAATAATTTATTGCGAGTGACCAATGAGGTATGGGGCCTAGCGTGGTGGAACACAACACCCTTCCGATTTGCTAGTTCTGGGCGTTTATTCTTATTTGATTGATCCAATTTTGTTGATTGTGAGCACTATAGAGTTGAATCAATTGTTCGGCCTAATGGCAAAAGTTCATAGAAAATAAAACCCTTGAAATCCCACTATATAGAAAGCATTATCTTCTTTAGATGCAATACGGGTTTTGATAATCTTCTAGGAACCTCACTACTAGCTCTCCAAGAGTTTCTAAGGACCACATTATAGTAAAATATCCATTTTTCATCTCCTGTTACCAACCTTTTCAAAAATGGGTCGTTTTTTTTTTTTTTTTTTGTGAGGGACCCAAACATTAAACCTGGAAACATAGCCGAGATTGTGTAAATGATTTTCTACGCTTGTGTGCGACACATTTAGGTCCTTAGCAATCTCTCGCACTGATTGGGGAGGGGGGATTTTGATCAACAGTGGCCTTAACATTGCTCGTTTCAATTTCATATGGGCAACCAGACCGTTGAGCGTCATTGATGTCAAAATTTCCTCAATGAAATTTGGCAAACCGATTTTGATAAGTGAGTTCAGTTTGACAGGTTAAGGCATCATCCCCATAAACTTCAAATTTTTCTATGAGCTGCTGCAGCACGCTTACCTTTTTTAAAATAATACAACAAAATGTGCCGATAATGAATGATATTTTCTCCCATATTCACAGTGCTGTAGCAAACATAATACAAAGCTAGTTTCAACAATTCACAGTGCAGTAGCAAACATAATACTAAGCTAGTTTCAACAAGAGTTACCAGATATAGTTGTTGACATATTGCAAACAGGATAAACAATCTACCTTAGGGATTAATTCATCAGGTAAGAGGTGTATCATAGTAACATAAAAATAAACAAAAAAACCGAAAGGACTTATTTGCCAACCCAACAGCCCAAGTTTTTAATAATATAAGAATCATTTTGCAGGTATTCAAGTCACAAAAATACTTAGAAGTAGCACTTCAGTGTGGTGAAATCGTTTGGGAAAGAGGCCTGCTATCGAAAGGATATTCGATTTGCCATGGAGTATCGGGAAACGCTTATGCTTTTCTCGAGTTATATAAATACACAAAGGTAAAAATGATTATTCTTATTACCTTAAATATAACTAAACTTCAATAAACCTAAATATACTTCGATGATTTGTTTTAGAGTGTGAAACACCTCCATAGAGCAGCTTGTTTTGCCGATTGGTGCACTTATTATCCTAGAAACGAATACATGAAACCTGACCACCCGTTTTCACTGTTTGAAGGTACTTCAGCAGTCCTCGATTTGAATATTTTACATTTATAACATTTATTAAACTTAACTACCTCACATTTTAGGTTTAGCTGGACTGGTTTACTTCTTAAATGACATTAGAAAACCCACTATGTCATGTTTTCCTGCTTATGGATTGTAAATAATGCCTCTTTAAAACATTTAAGTTGAAAATAAATTGTTTTATGGAATCAAATTTCATTTTTCCAATATATATATTTTGGTGATGTATTCCTAATTTTATTTTTAATCCAAAGTTTTCATACATCTTTGCTTTAAAGTATCCGAAATGATTTTCAGTTGCCTCAAGTTTTTATATTAAAACTTTTTGGAGACTTGGATTTCTAAACTTTTTTAAATTTATTTATTTTGGCTATAGAACCTCGATTATGGATAATAGCTTAAAATATTTTATTTACAATTCAATAGTTAATAAATACTGGAAAATATTAGTCAAATTTAATTACATACTAAATCAGTATCCCCTCCCCCCACAATCCTCATAAATATTCGAGAGAAAAAAAATGTATCATAATAAAATGTGTTCAGAAATGATACTTTATATGCGAGAGGATACCGAATATGTAACGTTTACATTTTATACTGAAATAAGAAAGAAAGGAATGAACCCAAAATGAGAACAGGAGTATTCCAAGGTTTTTCAAGTTTTAGTGATTGTAATAGAAATACACCAAGAGAAAGTAGGTAATAGACATGATATATTCTAGACAAACCATAAATAAATCTAATAAATGCTATCTTCGGATAATAAATATCTCTGCACAGGCAGATCTATGGGAGGGGCTATCGGGCTAAAGCCCCCCTCCTCCAAAATGGTAAAATATAACATATTTTATTACAATAATCTAGCGCCTGGTAGAAGAACTGGTACCAGGCGCTAGAAGAAATGAGCATACCCTGGAAGCTGATTCGTCTGGTGAGAATGACCATGTTGGGGTCGAATAGCGTTGTTCGTATCGGATCTGACCTCTCTGAACCTATTGCCACAAACATCGGCGTGAGACAGGGAGATGCCCTTGCATGCCTTCTCTTTGATTTGGTGGAGGAGCGGGCAGTGCGCAGATCAAGAATCCAAACACGGGTCACCTTATTCAACAGTACGATCCAGTTGCTGGGGTATGCAGATGACTTTGACATAGCTGTCAGATCTGAGCGTGCGTTTTAGAAGTTGGACCATATAGATTTGAGAGGGTGCAAAGTTTCGTATACCTGGGCTCAGAAATAAATACTCAAAGTGACATATCCCAGGAGATCAACCGAAGAACTGCCGCAGCCAATCGAAGCTATTTTGGGCTAGCAAAATACTTCAAAAGCAGACACCTCTCCAACAAGACCAAGATCGGCCTATATAAGACCCTGATTCGTCCCGTACTTACGTATGGGTCAGAGACCTGGGCCTTCACTAGAGCCAGTAAGAACTTCCTTCTGGTGTTTCAAAAGTGTTTGAACGGAAGATACTGAGAGGAATTTTTTCCCCGGTTCCAGAGGGAGACACCTGGATAAGGAGGAAGAATCAGGAACTCTCAAGACTGTACAGAGATCCTGATATCATCAAGTGGATCAAGATTGAGAAACTTCGATGGGTGGGCCAAGTTGCAAGGATGAATGAGAGTCCCTGAGAGAACATTGGCTGAAGAGCTTCATGGCAAGCGAACAGTTGGTAGGCCAAATGTCAGGTGGGCTGACTCCGTCACAGCGGACGTAAGCGATCTCTTCGGCGTTAGGAACTGGAGAGCTGCAGCAACAGATAGAGCCAACTGGCGGAGACTTTTGGAGGAGGCTTGGACCCGTTAACGGGTTGTTGCGCCAACTATGTATGTATTAAAATAATATTTAAACAATTATTATTGGTCATTTTATTGATTACATTTTATTTGATTTCACTTTTAAAATGCGTTAAAAATGTAATTAATGCTGGAATTGGACGTTTGAAGAGGTGAAACGATGGTGCAAAAAATTACCTGCTAAATAGAAGAGCGATATCTTCTAAAAGAAAATGCTTAACAACAATCACTCACTTTATTCCGTGCCAGGAACTGTAACCTGAGTAGGGTGGTAAACCTACAAAGAAGAAATTTGAAATTTTCTCGGTTGTTTTATATTTTAGTACGTTAAATCATAGCACACTAAAACAATAAAATGCATTTTAAATCTCCTTTGTTTTAAAATTTACATCATAAGTATTTTATAAATCTTGGAACTACCATCTGACCTAAGTTGGTTCGTAGTTATAAATATTTCAACCATATACCATTCTCGAAAAGTTTTATGAAAATATTGAATAACATTTTATTGAAATTCTTTCCAGGAATTTCATCAAGTATGTTTCCATTTACTTATTGAATAAACTTAATAAGTTAATTAGTTATGGTAGTTATATTGGGTTTTCTGCTTTGAATACGATCTCATATGGTTATTTTCACCAATGTGTCACATTTCATCAATGTGATAATATATGCCTCTAGGATTTAATCTAATCTAAGATTATTTGTATTATTTTGACACGCAAAATATAAATATGTACGTATACAAATAAATAGAATTTATGATTAACATAAGGCAAATGTGTAGAAGGTAACATGCTGGTTATATTGTTTGTAAACATTTTTGATGGATGATTGAATTATTCAAAGTATAATTTAATTTTGTTGTACTGCGACTTGTTTAGTAGTCGGGGTAAAATTTGAAATGGATCACAGCCGATTTTTTAAAAATCCCTATGAGGACTTTTCCCCTCAATCAGCCACAAAATTCTTAAATGGAAAACAGGTGAATAAAGTTTCATCTAATTTCATTTAGTTTTTATTGATAATTCGTTACAGTTTTTGTTTTCTTTTTAGTTTAAAAGTGATTTGGTTTCCCATGTTCAAAAACTAGATGGAGTACTATTGGACAAAATTCAAAAAAATATCAATAGAATAAGTTTCAGTGAAGATTATACAATTTATGTTGGATATTGTGGAATAGCTCTTCTATATCTTCTGAAATATAAAAGAACTAATGATACAATTTTTTTACAAGTAAGGATACTACATTAATTTACTCCTTTCAAAGATCTGTGGTATTCATTTCTAAATATTGGTTTTTTTTTAGAAGGCCAAAGGTTTGACTGAAAAAGGACTCTCGCAGCTTAGACAAGATGATATTAGCTTCCTTTTGGGAGATGCAGGTCCTTTGGCCTTAGCTGCAGTTGTTAATTTTAAATTGGGAGATCAACAGCACACCAGACAATGTATACAAAGGTAATTCACAGATCATCAAGGTATTAAATTCCGTTAAATTAAGTTTTTTCTAACGTAAATATGGTTAGTTTTTCGATTTATGTAGATTTCTCTTGGTACTGAAAAGGAGGAATGAGCTTGTCTAGAAAGCAGTGTTGTAAAAACAAGCCTCGAGCTCTGACTTGAATCCTAAAGCCTTTAAACCTCGAACCTGCAAGGCTAGAGTTTGGCACTAACCCAAGTGGGAATTTTAAAATTCTTGGGATTGTCAAGAATAAATATGGCACTAGTTCTGTTTTATTGCACCAAGATGGTGGCTGTTTTCCCGAAAGAAGATGGAGCCGACTGATCCCCAATTAATGGTAGTGAATTAAATGCTTTTTTTAGGGGGAAAATTATACAGAATGTGTTTATTAGATTAGGTCAGATCTAGGCACCACCATGTCCATTTTCTATTCATAAATAACAGTGTTTACCGAATTATTGAAATGATTCTCACCCATTTGTCGAAAGTTTTACTACTTCTTTAGGAATTAATCTAGCCCCATTTAATGTATAATTGGAAAGATTAAGTTAGTTTAAATTTGACAAATATTTAAAAAAAAATATTTTTAACGATAATAAGATTTATTACTACCAAAAGTGGTCAATAATAATTATAATAGAAAATATTAAAAGTTACAATATATGAATAAATATAATTTGTAGGAATATTCTAATCTGAAAATGGGATTATCAGCAACAAATAACATGTTAACATTGCTATTAAATGTATTCTTTCTATATCTATCAGTGGGAGGAGGGATATTTCAATTATGCATTTTAGTATTTTGTGTACAAAGATATTTTTCTTATTACGTGTTTTATTATTTGTATGTACTAAAAAGTCAGGATCTAATCTAATCTAAATAGCATGTATAAATCTAGGCAGCTCTGTCAGCTATATAGGATTGTCAATACTCTACTACTTTTGGCTTCATTGAAAATTTGGAATTAGCATGTCCTGGGTGATTTTGAAAACTGCCTCCATCTTGGTGGAGCAAAATGGAACTAATACTATAAATATTAACTGATCCAGATGAGAATCAAACCCACTAATGTTCTGGACTAAATACTATAGTTATATATTATATTATGGATATCTAATTATACATTATATTGATATCATATATATATATATATATATATATATATATAAAATATTGATTGTTATATATTATATTAGTATCTAGTTATATATTATATTATGGATACTCTACTTATATATAAGTCTGTAGTTTAAAATAATCTGTTTGAAACAATTTTCTAATCATTTATTAATATTTTTCAAAGTTAATGGATTCTATTTTAAATTGAACCATATTCAGAAAAATGTTTTAGAGGGAAAGTAAGGTTATTAAATATTTCCCTCTTTTATTAATAGCATATCTTCCTTGTATCTCAATTAGGCAACTGTAACTTATTCAATGAAAGAGCTTTGTATGGAATCTTGTCAACTAATCTCAATCTATATGCCACATAAGGACACAGCAAAAAACATTTTTAGCAATACTACTGAACATTATGGAAACAGCTGAATTTGATAATTTACAAATTTTCTGAGATCCCTTTCACAGCAATAATTTTTTTTCTGGACAAGCCATCCATCATTGTTGGACACATTTGAGACAGAAATGTCCTCGACCACTTTACATAGATTGTGAAAGTATTGGTAAATATCTTTGTGGTCTAGTTGAGTATGATTTTTTTTCAAATATTGAATGTAAACTGTAATGATAGCTCGGAATTTAATTTTAGGAATACATCTACGCGATGTTCACAGGAATAAATGCCTTCTCTAAATTTGTAAACTTTTCTCCCAAGTGGCTTGCATCTACTTGTACCAGATCATTCCTGGTAACAGGATATCCAAAATTGCGTAATTATTTTAAAACAAGTTCTAGTCCCCATAAGAAAACTTGGTATTGAAAAATGAATTTTGGGAAAAAGAAACTTGATTGGAGCTGGCTTTAAGCGAAGCCTAGATATGTAACAAAGGCATCTTTAAATTAATTGATCAAATAAGTTATCTCAAACAATGTCAATTAAAAATGTTTTGAGATTTATTTGTGGAAAAGTTTCAATGACAATCGTAACTATGGTACAATGCGAATAGGAAAATGCATCAGTCACCTTTTAAAAGTTTTCTGGCACTACAAATTTAAAACCAGTAAATTTATCAGAATCACTTTTAATCTGATGAGACTGGTGAATTTAAATAGTGGGCATCTAAAATCCGCTGACCTCAAAAACTGAGAAAAGTGCTCAATGCCTCATAATATTGCTAGTAAAGTTAACATTCCTTCCTTCACAACCAAATAGTAGGCTTTACTTTGATATGAAACTTTTTTATAAATACTAATTTCACATGATAGAGTGAAATGACCATTCCTGGGGCAACATTAGGCCTTCCGATGGTACACATTTCACTATTTTGATTCAATTACTTTTAACCTAAATAAAATTGTGAATATATTGCTTTATTAATAGATTATTTATTGGATTCCCAATGAGACAAAATTATCTTGTGTAATTATTGTTTATAATAGCTGTACCACATTAAATGACATAATGAATTTGTTCACTTTCTCCTGTTCATTTATCCTAATTTTGCTGTCTTGAGGTTTTATGTTTTTACATAAATTAGGCCAATTATCACCAAACATTTTATGGATACGCTATTTAATTCGACATTTCGACCATACTAAGGGTCATTTTCAAGTCTGGAAAATTGTAATATCATTATTAGTTAACATTCACAATTACAAAAAAAAATTCTTATTACACTTAATTAACTTGTCTAACGATCTATGTCATATTATTTTCGATACACATAAATTTATCCAAATCTATACATAAAAGTATACGCTTTTTCTTATTAAAACACCTTACATGTACGTAACTTTAAACAATAAACCTTACATTAAAAACAATTGACTATTACCTTGATGAGTCCTCCGTTATATATTCATCATTAATGTCGCAAATAATATGTTCAGTGAACATTAAATTGTCATGGTCTATAGGAGTTTCGCCTATGTCATTTCTGGAGGGACTGACTTATATCGTCCTGGTGGGGATAGTCAAAAGGAGAGGGATTTTCCTTCTATTGTTTTGCATTAGTTGATTATTTTATCTAATTTATGATATTTGTATTGCTTTTAAATTATTGTTAGAGGAGGACTCATCAAGGTAATAGTCAATTGTTTTTAATGTAAGGTTTATTGTTTAAAGTTACGTACATGTAAGGTTTTTTTATAAGAAAAAGTTATAAATTTCTTTTTTCTTGTTAAATCAAATCGCTGTTGATATGTTACATCAAAGTTTATAGTTTTGACAAGCAGACTTCATTAATTTATTCAACTATATATTAAAGTTTTGACCATGCTCAAAATCTCAATCTAGATTAAAATAATATACTATTATTTGATTATTGATATAATCAAATGATTATTTATAGATTGATTGATTTACCTACTAAAGTTAATTCATCTCCTCCATACGAGCTACTATATGGTAGAGTTGGTTATTTGTATGCTCTGTTGTTTGTGGAAAATGAGATTGGGCCTATTATACCAGTTGAAGTCATAAAGGATGTAAGTTTAATGTGTATCCTTCTATTGGTGTAGCTAGGATTTTTCTATTCAATATTTTTTCTATTAGTGTTGTTTGTTGAACTATAGGATATCTTGTTTTATCCTGCTTTAATTATTTTAGTGTATTGAAGCAATTATTAAAGGAGGACAAGCTAAAGCTCAATCTACTAATTTTCCTGCCCCTCTCCAGTATGAGTGGTACAACACAAACTATTTAGGAGCAGCTCATGGAGTAGCTGGTATCTTATATGTTCTACTTTGTGTACGTTCTCTTTTTAATTATTTTCTCATCAGTATTATAATATATATATATATATATATATATATATATATATATATATATATATTATGCTTAATACAACTAATATTTAAATTATTAAGATTAATTCAATTTTAGGCCAATCAATTTCTTACTGAAGTTCAAAGACAGCAAATAATTAAACCTACTATAGATTGGTTAAAAGAAAATCGTTTTCCAAGTGGTAACTTCAAATCAAGCTATGGTAGAGACAGAGATTCATTAGTGCATTGGTGTCATGGATCTCCAGGATTTGTTTATCTTTTTATGTTGGCCCACAAGGTAGAAAAACATTTTTAATTTAATAAATACAATAAGAAAAATGTTAATTTTAGATCTACTCTTCTAAAATTGTCAAATATCAAATGATATTATCTTGGATCCCATATTCACACATTATGTATTTTATTAATTTGATTACATTGTGTTTCACTCATTCAACAAACATTGAACGTTTACTAAACATTCAACATGTTTAGAATGAATGTGAAGAAAGATTGTATATCTTAAAATAGCATTCAATAAGATATTTTAAAGTATTACTACATCAATCTTCAATATTATTACATTCTGAGCTATTGGTACGAATGTTGCACCATGCTTGTGTTTTGTGGATGACCTGTCTTGAATAGTTGGCACTGAATCAAATGGAATGAAGCTAAAGCAATTATAATCATTTGCTTTACAATTAGATTTCCAGAGACTGAAAACCATGTAGGGCTTTCAGTACATCTTATTTTTTGTCTAATATAGCAAATGTACTTAGAGACCAATGTTTTGTTTGCTCAAGGGGAACAAAACAAGGGTTCTTTTAATAGAAAAAGATAATTTCTAAAGAAAAAAATATGTGCACTAAGACAAATAATGGATAATTGGACTCTCTTTTTTTTTTTAAAAAAAAAGAGTTAATTAACAATTAATTGTGTACAATCGTGTTGTTTTGTCACATCTTAAGAGAAAAAACAGTGCATAAATCTTTAGATCTAACATTCCAATTCTGTAGATGCTTTTTCTCAGCTTCGAGTTATATATTTAATTCTGCCTTACTTTAAATTTTTCTTACTAACCGAATGAGACCTTACATTTTTTTATTCTTTAGAATTCTTGAAATTGCCATTTTCTCTAGAAATTTTATAATTGTGCTCAGTAAAATCACTCAAATTTTGCCAAATCTCCTTTGATACCCTCTGTCTAAAAAAGTCCTTTTCGAATTTTGGATTGTTATCAGTTCAATTTTTCAATAGTGCTTTTTTGTTCTTTAAAATGTTTGAAACTTACATACCTACTTAATAAGGCATTCATTGTCCATGCCTGGTTTATAAAAGCACTACAGTGCAATCTGAGTATTCTATATTAATTGCTGCTGGAGAGAGGGTGTTCAGAATCTGTTATATTTAAACTTCAGTTCACGGAAAAGTTTGGATTATAGAGGGTGGTCGGAAAAACTACTTTGTTTATTGTGATTCCACTGTATAATTTTTTACCAAAACATACTTTTTGTGGTGCTCTGCCATTTATTATTGGTTTGTGATTATTGTTTAGGTAGTAGAATGTTAAAGTAATTAATGTTACTGAATATTTATCCAGATTATAACTTCAGTTTATCAAAAAATCACATATTAGACCACTTTTGTATGTTAGCTCTGAAATTCTCTCAGGAATATTTGTAATGTAAATATACCAACATCAGTGAATTTAGCAAATACTTTTTAGATTTGTACAATTAGTTGCATAATCTATAGCAAAAACTTATAAGAAGCCCTCATCGCTGGAAAGGCCTTTATATTAATCTAAAGGTATACTATACACTAATTAGAGATTATCTATCCTATCTCATCCGACAAGCAACCACTGACATGAAAATGTTGGAAATCTGTTGATCTGTTGAGCTTGCATTAGTCTACAACTATTTACTGTTATAATTAAAACAATAAATCAAAATAAATTAGGCAATCCTACAGATTGGTAGTTCTTGAGCCTTCTTACAAGTGGACATAAAGAATACCTGGAAAAAGAAGTTTTATTTATTTAATTTTTATTTAACAAATCTTTAGTTATTTAATATTTAATGTAAATTTTTATTTAAGGTATATAATAATCAAGAATATAAAGACTTAGCTTTACAATGTGGTGATGTTGTGTGGCATAGAGGAATATTGAAGAAAGGTTATTCAATTTGCCATGGTGTTTCTGGAAATGCTTATACATTCTTATATCTTTACAAAACTACAAGAGTAAGTTTTCAAATTTATATATATATTTATATATTTATGTGTGTATGTATTTATTCAAAACAAAGTCTGAAACAAAATATATTTGAAAAATGATGATCTTGAATTAATTAAGAATTATAATTTAACCTTTTTACCTTATTGTTACACAATATTAATATAAGAGATGCACAGTTATTGCTGTGTATTTTCCAATATTTGAGAGATCTACTTTGTTGACTATTTTTGGGGTTCCTTGTTAGCAAATTTCAAACATTATTTAACACAATATTAATAGCATTAGATAGAGGAAATTCAAGAACTTAATACAATAGAAAAAGAGCATTGTTTTTAGGAAAGATATCTCAATGGGAGAAAATTAATAATTACTAGCTGACCAGTGCGAATACACCACACAAACTTAATAATTATATCTGATTTTAATACATTAAGGGAACAACTTCCATTCAACAATGTTTGATACGCAAAGGTTTATTACATATATTTTGTAAGTTGTCTGTTCATGAATCTGATTTATATTTTGCCATAGTTTAACCAAGCATTTCCTTAAACTTATAATTTAAATATTAGCTTTTTTCTTCATTAGATTATCATAAATTAACAAAAGCTTCTGAACATTGCTCTAAACATCTGACGATGACTAAAGCCTCAAATTGTCAGGGTGTTATATAGTTAGTTCAATCAGGATGTATGTTACTTTCATTAAATAAAATTGAATGTGTATTTGTAAATGATAAACTACAATAATAAAGATCTAATAGTAAATGCTATTGTAATCGAAGCACATTGAAAAAATTACCAACAATAATTTGATATAAAAGAAAACACATTTATATAAATAAAAATAAAATTAATATTTTTATTAATTAAAAAGAATATAATGTTTTAAAATTTAAAAAAAAATTACTAATTGATACATAATATACTGTGCCTCGGAAACAAAGGGCAAATTTCAAATTTGATAAATAACTAGCCAGATGCAACACAATCTTTGCAGCGTAACAAATAATAAATGTTCAGAAAGCTTTAACTTTGCACCAAATTGTCCAATTTCTATAAATTTTTTCAATGTTTTGTAGGGAATTTAGTAAGCTTTCAAATACTCATATGTATGTATAATGGACCACAAATTGTGCCCTTTTCGAGTTATTCCCAAATTATAAATTCATTTGTAATGGCTCAGACTTGATTCCTTGAGACGGCACCATCATGTGGTTTGAAACCTTCCTATTTTGCATTCTCTTTTATTTAGGTCCAGGTATAAAATCAGGAATCAAAATTACGATTCGCGCACTCTACGTGATATTCCCTTTCTATTGATATCTCATTCGTCAAAATCCATCACACCTGAGAGCCAGAAAAGGGATATATATTTGAGAAAAAATATATAAGATGTGCAAGCTGTACATCAAAATGTCTTAAATATAAGTCCAAAACAACTGTATCAGTTCCTAACTTGAAATTTTGGTTTGATCAGAGGCTAGTATTTCAGATTTCCTGGAATACATGACCATCTCCTGCTTGCATTTTATTTTTACAATTAATTAATGTCTAACTTTCAAAAAATATAAATAATTACAATATAAGTGGCCTTGAATATATATATATAATACTTTTTAATTAAATTTTTAATGCATCCAGGACTTAAAGTACCTGTATCAAGCTGCGTGTTTCCTTGATTGGTGTACAACTTACCCAATGAATGAAGGAAGGAAGCCTGATACGCCTTATTCCTTATTTGAAGGTTTGTATTTCTTATTTTTTGCTAACATCAGTATATAATGTTAATTTTTTTAACCTAAGCTTTTCATTATTCATATGAAATATCTTTCGTTTCTTATATAAGTTGCACATTTTCCCATATTTAAAGAAATTTGAACTTTCTTAAGCATTTTTGGATTGTAGCTATGTCACTTTTATTTATAATATAAAAGAAAATGTCAACAAAATTAGTAGACATTTGTAATTGTAATTAAAATGTGTAGCTTTGTCATTTTTTATATTTTCTGTTACCTGCTTATTTAATGAGTTGTTAATATTATGTATTTAGTTATAATAAAATGTATATGTATTTATTTTGCAGGTATTGCTGGCTTGGATTACTTTCTTACTGACGTGCTAAATCCAGAAGACGCGAATTTCCCTGCATTTGCCCTTCTTTAAAATATGTGTACCTTAATTTTACATCAAATAAATCTAATTTATGATAATGTGCCATGCTTGTGTTATTTAAAATTCAATATTATTGTCGACATACAACACTCCTATTCTAATTTTAATCATACATTTTTCTTCTGCAAGGAACTTTGTCTTGTACAATGGTCATTTAATATTGCTTGAAAGCAAGCAATAAGAAAATGTATCCTGAGGTTAGTCGAGTATGTGGCTCTATCAGAAGATAGCAGAATGTCATCTAAAGAGTCCTTTATACTGTCTCCTTAACTAAGATTATCTATAACATCCTATAGGTATAGAGATATTTCTTATTCTAAAATTAATTTTTGATTAGTCACAGAACGCAAATATGTTATTGAATTATATTTAATAAATTATTTGATTTCATGTTCCTTAGATTTTAATTGGTTTATTTTGTTTGATGAGAATGATGCCAATTCGATATTTGCAATTAGTTAGGATCATGACCACAGTTAGTAAATGTGATATTCAGTCCAATTAATCTGTGAATGAATAATTTACATCCTTCAGTATTTAATGGATGGTTTAAGTGAATTCTGTGAAACATTGAATTTCATCTAAAAATGATTATTAAATGATTAACAACTAAATCTATTTATTAATTGTTTTGTAATCGTTAAATCCACTAATAGAATTTTAATTTGGTTCAGTATAAGATAAATACTGATTTATACTTTATTTTTTATTTAAAGACATTAATTTCATAACAATAAATTATTGCTGTTTTATTGCATGGTTCAACATTGCTTTATCAATTATCAAATATTGTAATGTATTTCATTTTTATCAAATATCATTAAAATATGTATAAACAGCCGTACTGATTTGTCCTGTTAGTACTATTTCATTTGACAGCATGGTTTTCAGCTTTTCTAGTCAATTTTGTCATTGTGCATTGTCAATATAAACCAAAAACCTTATTTGAAACATTAGATCTTTGTCTTAACCAAACAATAAGAAATGAAAATAAAATCTACTTAATAAATAAAAAATCAAGTCTCGTCATCACAAAACTTCCACTTACCGCTCTACTTTGAATATAAATTATTTTCTGATAAGATTGGGCTATTACAAAATTTTTGAAGTTACTTTTTAACATAGCTAAAGCTTACAGCTATCAAATCATCAAGGCAATTAAAATAACAAAAACCCTATTTATTTTATCGATGGTAGGCAATAAAAATCTCATAACTCCATCTGTTTGTATAAACCACATAATTCCAGTCACTGAGCTGTAAACGCCTAGATAGATTTAATAGTACATATTTATATTTACCCTATAAATATTTATGGATTGTACTATTATTAGTTATTAACCCTTTTCAGGCCATGGTGTCCATACCAACACTACTTTGAATTTTTGCTGTTTTTTTTGTCAATTTCTCTGATATTATAGAGTAGTTATAAAAAATATATCTAATAAGACTATACTAGACCAGATGGAAGTTTTAACTACTCTATAATTTAAGAGAAATTAAAAAATTAAATTCAAAGTAGTGGTATCCATTTGGACAGCATGGCCTGAAAAGTGTTAACTCTTATTTTCCATTCCAAGGTTTACTAAAATGGAATTACAAGATTTTCGCTGCCTGTCATTGAAAGGTCAAAAGTTGTCAGCCAAATTTTGAGTGGATAATGCTGGGATTTCACAAATGGAAAATTCATCAAATTATTCACTAATTTAATTTTCTAAAAGGTTACATGATTTTTCGGAATAAACTTTCCATAGATTACTAATTATTTAAATACATCGGATCTAGTATTATTAAACAACAGTAAATGTATTTAAGGCTATAAACGGATGTTTTACACACCCATGAAATATTTTTATATTTTACTTCTTCTTTCACACAAATACACATTGCCTTGATTCCAGTGCATTTTATATACTTTTTTTAAAATTTTATTGAAGCTCCTTCAATATTATTGGAACAGTGTCGATATAATTGCATCTGTAAGGCCTATATTGAGCAATATTAAACCATATATACGGATCTAGAGAAGCTCAGGGCGATACCAAATTTCCAGTGAATTTTAAGTCTCGTCATAATCAAGATTATGATTTACAGTTTTAGTGGTTGCTGAATCATGATCATGCAAGGAAATTTGCTTGAGAATGAGCTTAGGAATTGCAATGCTATAGGAAATCTGGATTAGATCATGATATGAAAGGAATGAAACCAGAGTTTGAGAGGAGAATATTAAGTTTTTGGAAGAATCTATCACAAAAAGTTCATGCCATGTACTTGAGACCTGGGTATGGTGGGTAGGTTGAATGTGGACAATAAAAAAGTCAAGGGAATGGATTAGATTTAAGGTATGATTTGTAAGGAGATGGTTCCTATAGATTAATGTTGGAATATTAGGCTATTATAAGGGACATAGGTAAAAAGAGAAGATTCAAAAGTATGGTCGAAATGAACCTGAGGAGGACAATATACAATGATATAGAGAAGGAGAAAAAAGTCTTAAGGAGTATTCTAAAAACAAGTATATATGAGGAGTATCTGGAGAGAGGGATTTGAGAAGGATTTTTCCATTAAACTGTAGTAATGAATGAAAATTCCAAAATGTTCACCTGCTTTGATTCATCAGATCATGATGAATGAGGGAATAATTAGGAATGGATATAGAGGAAGAGGAAATATGCTGTTTGAGCCAAATTTCAAAAACTAAAATAATATGGAAAAATGATTAAGGAAATATCCCAGGAATTCAGCAAAATGTGAGCTGGTAGAGATTGAGAGTTAAGGTGACCAGATAATAGATTATTGGTCACATAAGTGAAAACTGATATTTTGTACTAAAAAGTAAATGAGGTATAATTTAGGAACTCAATTGTGGAATAGACATTATAAAATAAAAAGAAGTGCTCAAAGCAAAGAAAAAAAATAATAATTTGAGAATAAAGGAAGAAGTACTATTTTTAAAATTAAAAAGAATATTCATAAGAAGAAAAAAAAAGGTGAACTAGTATAGGTTGATGATAGACAAAAAAAAAAAAGAAGATTTAGATGAAATACAAATTGATTGGTTTCTAAAAAAAACAACACATTATTTAAATAAAAAATGGAATTAATGTGAAAATAAATAATATAACATAGGTTTATTGTAACAATGAACTTCCCTCATTGTCATCAATTTCTTCAGCCATATTATGACAACTGGCATTCCATCTCTGCGATATTCTATTCACCTTGAAGCCAACCATACATACTTAATCTTGCCAGCGAACTTCCTATATCTCGCTAACAAATAGAGTTGTTGGCTCCCAGAAAGCATTCCTACACTCCCATATATGCTCTCGTCTGTCTCTCTGCCCAGGTGTCTGGTGATGAAATCCCTCTTAACCATACGGAGACGCAGTGCCAGCTTTAGACATTCGGGCAATAATGTCATCCTCACTAAAATTAATTATTTTATTATGTTTGTTATTTAAAGGGCTCCCCTCCAGGTTGGCGTCCCGAGGCAATTGCTCTGGTTGCTCCAACCTAAAGCCTGTACTGTGGAGACGGCTCAGAAGTCAATGCTACCAAACCTAATGTTTGATTACTGAAGTGGCGTCTAGAAGTGGAGAGAAGGTGACCGTCGGAGAGTGCCAGCTCGGGAAGACTAATGCTGTTGGTTCGTTAGTGATCCAAAACAATCTCTTTAAACGTTCAGCAAACCTAAGGCAAAGCATTTCTGGTTTGGTGCACTCTTTAGAAAAATTAAGCTATATTTCTATAATATTTACAATCGTGCGTCTAGCCCAAAGATTGGAGGAAGAATAAAAAGCGGTCCAGATTCTTCATAGGCCGTAGGTTCAAAAATGAATTCAAAATATCGTAGTTTTTTTGTTTGTGTGGATAGTAGTATGTAGCAGAGGGTGTTCCAGTTGCTGTACGCCGAAATATTTGGTGGTGCCATTCATACAAATTTTGGACATATCTTGCTTAAATCGACTCTATAACTGTAAAGAGCTCTTCAGCTTCTTTCAGCAATTTTTTAAAATAAGTAAATACAAACTGCATCATCTGTTTAACTAGTATTCTCATCACTTTTGGTGTAATAAAAACCATGAGTCGTTATTCTAGTTCTTCGTATTTTCATTCATTCATATTAGTTGTAATCTACATGTAATGTACCTCTTTGGTTTAAGAAGTAGATCTTGTTTACACTTTGGTGTCAAACTTTCAATTACTGTCTAAAACTGGAAATTTAATGTTTAAATAAATAAATTGAATAAAGCTTATAAATAATTATGTACTACTACGTGTGCAAATTACAATATGTTGTCATTGGCATCTACGAGTTTTATAGATAGCTATGATGTTGGATTTTAATTAATAAATGTATTTATTGAAATAGGTTTTTCTTTTTAGTTTTACTATTACTCGATTTTCACTCTGATAATCACTGTATTTATATCTTCCAAAAAAAAAAATTATTACAAAGCCATTAAAATTAATGAGCATAGTTTGCTGCTGAATTAATAAAAATGTTAACCTCAAGAACTGTCAATATTTTATTTTCTGTAGTATCCAGAAAACTATTTTCTGTTGGTAAAAGTACCTGCAAGTTTTACAGTTCACAAAGTTCAAGTAAAATATGCATTGTGGGAAGTGGTCCTGCAGGTTTTTATGCAGCACAACATTTATTAAAAGTAAGCTTCTTATTAAATTAATTTGGAATGCTGGACTGCTTTATTTACATTTTTGTCTTTAAGGTGTTACCCAATGCTGTCATCGATATGTATGAAAAACTGCCTGTACCATTTGGACTCGTGCGATATGGAGTAGCACCTGATCATCCCGAAGTGAAAAATGTAATAAATTCTTTTACAAAAACTGCCTCCCATAGCAATTTCCGTTTTATTGGAAATGTAAACTTAGGAGTGGATGTACTTTTCAGGGATTTGCAAAATGCTTATCATGGAATCGTTCTAGTAAGTATGCAATTCAATCATTCCAATGAATTCATAATACTTATATTGTTATAGTTGATTAATTGCCTTTACTTGTTTTTTATAATAAATAT